AACTTTATAACCAACACTGCTCCAGCTGAAAACCCCTCAACTTACATGGTTGCAGCGTCTTCTGATGCCCAGAGTTAGGAGGAGATGTTGGTTCATTCCCTGCCATGTGAAAACAGACTGGTGATCTCGCTGCTTTCCTGGTTTAATTGGGAACAGGCTGAAGTTTATGCTAATGAGCGCTGACATCAGTCTTAACTGCCTCCACTCCATAAAGGAGAGGAGCAAAGGGCCAAAGTCGCGCCTCTTTTCCCAGGCATGCTCGCCGGTCAAGTTCAAGCGCAGCGCCAGTGCGCCAAGATTGTCATTCAAAACACGTTAATGCACAGAGCAAATGCATTGGGGGAGGTGGGAGGTCTGCAAACACATTTAGCTTAAAGTGTGAAGCTCCTGGAATCCGCTAAATAGCTAATCAATGAAAAAAACATCAATATATCAAATATCAATAAGACAAGTTCACAAACATGGACACAAAACGGGAAAATCATTTCACTCCTGTTTGAGATTATCCCAAAAAAATGACAATGGCCTATATAGAGCAAAAACGGATCAGCAGCTTTGACTTTAATATATAAATACATATGAATGTATATATTTATTTCAAAATGCAGTGAAATTATTTCTATGCAATGGGCTTTTTTCCTTTTCTTTGAAAATTCAGTGGTGGTAAAAAACTTTTTATATTGAAGTACACTTATCAGAAATCCTCTCCTAAACACCAATGTCCTGCTGGATGGACAAAATATGAGGAACTTCATCTTTTCTTGAAGTACAAGGATGATGAGGTAAGTCCAGGTATTCTACATATTTCTTATAAATAAAATATCCCCACCACAGAGGAGGAGATAGGCTATGAAGGACGAATTGGGTGAGTTAGAGATTTTTTAAGATAAATGAGTAAGTCAGTATCTGAAATATGTCTGCTATTTCCTAATATTCTTGTTCATTTAGTGTAACTGAACATTTGTGCAAACATATTTTCATTTCCATTTGACACAGACGTAAAGGAAAAAGAGTGTAAAATAAAGCCTATTGAAATTCTCCAAGTGCCAGATTACACTTTTGTATGTCTTTGTGTGTGCATGTACATCATCCATCTGTGCATGCTGGCCGCTGGATCATCCACGGGATCATCTACGCCACAGACACTAAAATAGAATTAGCAGTGTGCATTTGCGTAATTACAGTATAAGTGTGCAACGATGCATGCCGTCCAAATCCAGAATCTGTGTGAGGACAAGCCAAAGTAACGGCTTAACCCATCACAGCAGAATCAGGCCAGATGCTGTGAATATGCAGAGATGACGCATATATGCAGACAGGCCTCATTTGTGTGTGTGTGTGTGTGTGTGTGTGTGTGTGTGTGTGTGTGCTATCTTATTTCAAAAATTCCCCAGACCCTGTTCTGCTAGTTTGTTACTGTGATGCAGGGCCATTGCAGACTGTTCCTAACCCTTTAGCTCAGGCAGGATGGCTTTTTAAAATCTTAAAACTAGGTGAATAACTCTAGAAATGTTTTGTTTTATTGTAATAATTGATTCTTTCAATGGGCCTTTCTCACTGAAGAAACACATGTGCTTTTCCTCCAATGACAAGTCTAAATATTTGCTGTGAAAAAGGCCCATAAAAACTCAACTTTCTACACAATATGTAAAATTCCTCTTACTGCTGAAACATGATCAGTAAGCCATGGTACGTGACACATGCTACATGTTTGATTAGAAAGACAAAAAGCCATGCCTCTGTCTGACACTTATGACCTTGATATTGTGGTTTCTGTATCACCAGTGAAAATCCTTAACAGACTCCTTTTCTCTCTTCCTCGTGATATACAGTATGTCTATGTCTGGAAATTAACAGTCATGAGTCTCTCTCCTCTTTTACATAAATCCCTGTGACAAAGTAGATCTGGCCCTCCATAGCTGGTTCCCACAGCTACCCCCCCACTGCAGAGGAGGGAGCATTTAACGAAAGAGACAAAAAGGAAAAGAGCGGGGAAAATGAAGGGAGAGAAAAAACACAGGCGGTGGGAGTTTCCTTTGACGGGGCACCTTTGCAACATTTGCATATATTTAAATCAGCCGATGAATACCATGCATGGGGGCAAACAAAGACAAGCCAATGGGAGCGCTGCATCCCTGCTGCGGCCTCAGAAGCAGCCGCCGGTATCCCAGCAGCTCCCTGGGAGAGACACAGGGAAGTGGTGTGGGAACCGAGAGGCCCCCCGAGCTGAGCAGAGGGAGGGGAGCCACTTGTAGCCCGTAGTGAATTAGCATTTTATTTGTGTCCATTTTCCTCAGTAATTTCTGCCCCGCCACTTCAGCCACAGATGGCTAACATGGCAGAGGGATTAGCATTTGTGTCAAAGATGATGATTATGGAAGTGTTTTTCCACTCAGACAGAGACATTTCTTCTCACAGTGTGACTGACATTTTGATGTCTGAGATGTTGGTACAGTGTACAGAATATTTAAGTGATCAATGGCAAATGTTAGATGATGTTAGGATGATGTTATGGCAATTAATAAAACAACACACATTGCTCTATGCTGTGCTATGTACTGCTAAAGAGGTCATAAAATTCTCAAATGCTCTATTTCGCCATATTAGTCAATACTACAGTGTATATTTCATCTTCAGTAGCAGCAGGAGCTGGAGAAACAACCACCTTTATTGCTTTAAAGGTAATATGCAGAAGTGAAATCCTAATTAAAATGTGATCTCTCCATTTCCCATTGCTCAGATTCTCACAAACTAATTGCCTTTGGGTACAGGCAGGAGTTGCATCTACAACACTCATAAAGATCAAACAACCACACAGAGTTTGATATTGAGCTGAACAACAAATTTTATCTGGTTTATGTTTACAGATGCCTGGCCGGTGGTGCATACAGACCCAGCAGAGATGCTGTTGCTTCATGGCACAAAGCTCCATTTGATCAAATTCACAGCTGTCATTGAAATGTCATGCTCTTGTGCGCAAATTCACTGGGCAAAGGATCAGACACATCTTCAGCAGAAGGGGTGCACCGTGCCACCAATTAGCAGAAAGTGGGAATTCAATCGACTTCAGCAGACCACCCAAATAACACAAGCGCTCATGCTAAACACAGATTTGAATGTGGTGAAAGGTGGTGGTAAAAGATCTTTTAGAGGGCGTGCTGCTGGAAACACTTGGCACTGTTGAAGGCATACAGGTTTACAGCTTTACAGAGGATGAGCTGATATTACAATGCATGTACAGGCCACTGTGTGTGTGTGTGTGTGTGTGTGTGTGTGTGTGTGTGTGTGTGTGTGTGTGTGTGTGTGTGTGTGTGTGTTTGTGGACCTGAGTGACCAAGCATACCGCACATGGAGAATGCATCAGTGCACCCAGAGCTGCCGTCCTTGTACCACAATACTCCCCAAACACCTCCTGGTTTATAATAATCTGAGGCTCAGAGATCATACAACATAATACAGCAACAAATTACAATGATATAAACTTCGTCTACAGGTGTGGAGATAACCATGGTGGTATTATAAAATATTTCCTTATTCTTATCCTTTGAAATGGAAAAATAATACTTTAGTTCATGATTACATCAAAAACATGTGCCCCTTTCCCCTCTCCCCCTCCCTGGTGTCTGTGTGGTGTGTAGGGAGAAAGAGGAGCATATCAGAGACTTTAAGCTTCACCATTTACATAATGTTTGTTTTCATCCAATCAAATGTTAAGATACATGATGGTGGAAGCATGAAACACAGAGATTATCATTAGGAGGATCTCACAGAGGTGTTCAGGGGTATTGAGGAAGAACAAGGAACTAAGACGGATACAGTTTTACATTTTAATTAGAGATGAGGAGTGGGAGCAAGTTGGTGAAATTAAAACTGCTCTACTGCCTACTTTTTCAATGTTTTCTTTAATTGGAAGAGAATATGTATTAACAGTTGTCTACTCAGTATTTTCAGAAATATTCTGCATGTCCAAAAGTAATATTATGAGGAAGTTATGTATTTTAATAATATTTTTAAATATTATTATTATATTTAAATATAATAATAATACACACACACACACACATATATATATATATATAGTAAGTGTTGCTACCAGCCAATGAAAGCCTGTTCTTCTGTGGCTGCTTTGATGCCTTCATGAACATCGGACATACTGCTTATGATGAGTGAATATTGAGGCTGAGGGTAGCTGAGCGTTTAGATGTCACTGTTGCTTGTGTTCAGTTGTTGGACATTTATACTATTTCAATAAAGTTGTAAAAATAAAGTTTCCTGCATAGATATTTATATCAATCCAGCAAAAAAACATTATTATTGAACTGGGTATCAGGCTATCCAAAACAACATAAATTATATGTTAAATGCAATAGTATTAATACACCAATGCCAATTAAAATCACATTTGATTTTCATTAATAGAGGCCTCATACGTTAAGACACTACTGTCCTTTATTGCCATATGTTCAATTCTTTGTAGGAGAGTACTGACTATACACAAAAATATAGTTTTTATTCTCAAAGAATGTGCAAAGGATTTAGAAGATTTTTTTCAGCCCAATGTCTTGGCAATGGCTACAGTCCTCCTCTCAGTCAGCAGGCTGTAATAGGCTCTTTGTAGCCTGAGAGGCGAATTAACAAATAACATCTTTAAGCACTGCTGTTGCTTATAAATCTTAATTACTGTGAGCGCAGGAATCCAATCCAAAGCACATTAGACAGGTCCAATTGTGTTAGTAGTAGTCATATTGGCAGTTAAAAAAATTTAAATGTTTGCATTTAAAATTTCACTCAAAATTTAGCAGTAAATTTCAAACGCAGGCACACAAAAAATCCATTTGGGGTGCAGTTCAGAAAACTGAAATGATTACATGTTAACCTGACAGGTGTTGCTACATCTAACTGCGTCACAGGCTACTAGGTAGTTTAACATTTTATCTTAATGAGAAATGCAGAAAGGAGGTATAAATGAAATTTACAAAGCTTTCCAGGAGCACCTGAAGGCAGCAGGCGACTCCACTACAACATCCGGGACATTCATCAGTTTCACATGTCAGTTGGTTCAGCTGTCAAGATTTTCCTGCAAGTGAAGAAGCTTCGGCAGCTACTCTGGTCCTAACTGTATCTTTCGAGAGAAAAGATGGTAATTTTATTCACACCACAGTACATTGGGATGTACCGGTAGTTACCTGTCTTAACAGCCTGCTGTAAAAATCGCCAGCGAGCTCATTTTGTATTGTTTGCTATGAGAGCCAGTGTGCTAATGCTAGCTAGCTAGCTTGCTAACGCTTACAGCAGCACTGACAGGTGGTGAAGTTTAGCTAAATTTAGCACGATAGCCATTTGCTAACTTTCATTCATTTAAAACCGTCCATTTTTAACCACTTCTGTTATATTTTCAACATGATATGTAACTTAGCTTCCAGCGCAGCCTGTGATATGTGAACTTATTCACCTTTGGTGTAGCAGACTACCTGTTCTTGAAACTTTCTTGGATCATGCATGCACACGACTCAACACGAAATACAGTTTTGACCGGTCTTGACCGGCTGTCACAGTTCTAGACAAGGTACTCTTGCTCCCTGACCGTCTATGATGCTCTAGCAACTGACACATAACGTTTACTGTTTATGTCATGTGCAAGATAGGAGTTTCAGAGTCGGATCTCATACTTAAACGTGTGTGCGTGTGCTCTGACAGGCGCTGATGGGAATTCAGCTGGTGGTCAGCTTGCTGGCAGCCAGCATAATGCAGAGGATGGCTCCACATTACTCATTTGCGCGCTGGCTCCTCTGCAATGGCAGGTATTGACACCCTTACAATCAGATTATACACATAACGTGCTGTCCACTGTTTACACACATGTGCCTGTCATTCCTTCCAGTTTGTTCCGGTTCAAACACCCATCAGAAGGAGAGCTGTGTGCACTGGCAGGGAAGCAGATGCCCAAGCAGACCAGGAGAGACAGGTGGGAGTTGGGGGAGGGTCTGTTACTGCAGAAAGGAGTCACATCAAAGTAATGCTGCCTAGAGGGAGAAACTGAACACTAAAATCAAATGAATAGATCTTTGCACTCTCTACACTTCTTCTTACATACAAAGCCCTTAATGGTCAGACACCATCCTATATGAAAGAACTTCTTACACCATACTTCCCCACTAAGAACACATCAGGCACCTTGGCTGTGGAATCAGACCCCTGTCTGGGTTTGGGAAGCAACCAACATTTCCATATTTAAGAGTAGGCTAAGAACTTTTCTTTTTAGTAAAGCTTTTAGTTTGGGCTAGGGTATTTTATGATTTTTTTTATACATTTTAATTGTCTATTTATTAGTTTTATAATTGTGTATTTTATTGTTTTTTAATGTGTGTATCTTATGTGTTGTCAGCCTTTTTTAATCCAATTCTGCAAACTTTGTTTCTCTGTTTTCTGAAAAGTGTACTGGGACCACACAGCTGGTGATTTTACACTTTAAATAAATTTGACTTGACTTGACTCTGAAATAAAGCTACAGAGTTTTGCTTTCTGTTGCCAGTGCTGTGCTGTACTTCAGTTACTTATTTGTGTTTAATATAGTCATGTCTTTTCTTTTGTTTGATTTCTAGGAGACAGAACGGGGAGAGCAAGCCTCTCACTGTGCCCAAAGACATCGACCTTCACCTGGAGAAAGCTCCAGTCAACGCCATGGACGCGCTCGGTAAGACAAACACTGCTTTATCAACACCACAATGATGGCGTGCAAGGACACATGCTGCACAAACTCAGCTGTTGACTCACAACTCATTCACCATGCATTTTACAACATTGACATTGTTTTGTAGTCCCTACCCAACAGTTTGTCGATCATAGTTTTAATGGAGCGCAAAATAATCTCCTGAGCCTGCTAATGTTTGTGTATTTTCTTGTTTCTACTTTCAGTGCTGCGTTTTTTCCTGGAGTACCAATGGCTGGTAGATTTTGCAGTCTATGCAATGGGTGTCTTCCTGTTCACTGAGTGCTACTACAGTGTTGTAGATGCCAGCAAAGAGGTCAATATCGGAGCCATCTGGTGTGTCCTGACTGTTCTTTTCAGTCTGTATCCTTCAACTGTAAAGTAACTTTATGTAATCATGACAGATAAGTCTGTAACCATCAATACTGATCCTATGAAACACGATTATCTTTTTCTACAGCTGCAGTCTCTTGCGTGATCAATTAACAAACATGATGAAGCATCTAGTCAGAGTTACAAAACTGTAACAGGTTATCAGTATGTATGCTAGTAGTAAAAAGTTATATTTAGAAGACTTGATATTTTAAAACTAGTCAATACACTAAACATAAAGTAGCCTCACTAAGATAAATTGAAAGCCTTGAACTGGATGGATGCTACTTTTTCCTCTTTGCTGTTTTCATTTAACCCACAACCTGCAGAAAGTCCCTTCACACTCTGATGAGCCACTACTTCCGCTCTGAAGAGGGCGGTGAGCGCTCGGTGTGCCTCGCCTTTGGCTTTCTGTCTCTGCTCGTGGCCATGCTGGTGCTGGTGGTCCGTGAGGACTACCTGGAGTTCGGCCTGGAGTCAGGCTTTTCCAACCTCTTTGACAACTTGGAAGTCTTTGCCAAACAGCAGGGCTACGCTGACTGGTCGTAAGTATCTTTCCCTGCAGAGACAACATGATATAATATTGAGGGACATTGCATCAAGCATTAAGAGACTCTACCTTGGCTAAGCACTATGAATGAGCCAGTAACAGACTTTTCTTAACAAATATCTGTGCCAATCTTTTGGTGGTTGTTATGACTCCCGTCAGAATCCCAGTGACCAAGCTGACCGTGAAGCTCGGTCTGGCTGCTGTCTGTGCTTACATCGGTGCTCTCCTGGCCTTCCCCGGCCTGCGACTAGCTCAGACTCATCTAGACGCTGTACAGTTGAACTCAGACCGCCCACTCATCCAGTAAGAACTGCTAAATACTACAACAAGCAAGTAATGTACTCATGCCTTATTAAAAAGATGACATTAGCAGTATTTAGCTCTCTTAGATGTCCCTAATGTTTCCTGCAGGATTCTGCTGCACATGAGTTTCTTGTCTCCAGTCATTGTGTTGGTCCTATGGGTGAAACCCATTGCAAGGGACTTCCTTGCCAATGCACCGATGGGGAAGACCTCGGTCACAATGTGAGTGTACATACATATTAGCTTATTTTATCCACTGCAGCTAATTTCTCAATTCTCAAGACAGAAGCAGTGGCCAGTAATGCAAGATGTTCTCCACACATTGGCACATTGTCCTGACTTTTTCGGATCCTCTCATAATCTCGCACTTGCAGAGTTTCCAGTGAAACATTTGACAGCATGCGCCTGTGGATCATCTTGGTGTTGTGCGTGCTGCGTCTAGGAATGACTCGTTACCACATGCAAGCCTACCTCAATCTGGCTCAGAAGTGGGTGGAGCAGATGAAGAAGGAGGTGGGACGTATCGCTGCGATTGACATTCAGAGGAAGGTTAGATGTTTTGAACAATGTCGGGCTGAATAACCGCTCAGAAATGTTTACATAGAAAAGAGTTTAACTGGGCAGTAGAAAAGTAAAAACTCCCAACCTGCATGAGCAGTGTTAACTGAAAATAAATACGCTCTTTTTCAGGTCACTCGTATCTTTTGCTACCTGACTGTAGTTACTCTCCAGTATCTGCTTCCTATACTTCTCATCCTCTTCTCCACACTGGCCCTCAAGGCACTAGGTAAGTAAAATACCCCCGCCATCATCATGAACACTGCATTTGGAAGAAAGAATCCACACTTGATCTTTGTTTGTACTTTTTCCAGCCATCTACATGTAGGAAATATGTTTATTCACTCTCTTGCCAAGAGTTAGATGGAAAGATGGGTACCACTCCTGATATTCTTTCTGTTAGATTTAAAGCTACAGCCAAGAGCTGGATAGCTTATCTTAGCATCAAGTCTGGAAAACGGAGGAAACAGCTAGTGCTTCAGTTCAAAAATAGCCCAGTACATAACAACCTATAATTATACTTCAGTTTTAGTATGGATTAAAGAAACAAGATATAACATGTTAATTAGTAAGCTTTAGAGGTGATTTGGTTACCTACAGAGCGAGGCTAGCTGTTTCTAACCTCGATAGCTAACTTTTTTTTCTTTTTTTATACCTATCCTGCCCAGCAGCCTGGTATAGAGTATGAGAAGCTGGATACCATGCTGTGCCAGACAGATTTTACTTTAACAAGAGAGTATTAATATATTCCTTTTGTCTGTTTTATTATTTATTTAAATATTTTAATTTGTATTCATTTGTCACCAGGCTGGAAGGTGGGGATGAGGGTCACAAACACCACACACAGACACCACAGAGAAAGCAACAAAACCTGCAAGAGAACGGGGATAGGGGCTTGGGGCGGAGGAAAAAACAAACAAAGACAACCTGCCGAACAGCTGCAGTAAACAGCTGACATAAGAAAACAGGGAGAATGAAAAGGAGAAATGGTCAAGCAAAATGCACAGCACAGTCATGAGAGCTAGAATAGTAACACTACATTTAAATAACTTAATGAAAAGTATAAAGAATGATCGATAGCTAACTAGCTATTGGCTGTGGTTGTTACGTCCCCAGCTTGTCTAGGGGTGTGGGACGAACAAAAAGATAAATAACCAGGTGGGAAAAACCAAGGAAGGACTCAAAATATGCGTCAAGTTAATTTATTCTTAAACAAAAAATAACAAAAGGCGTTTAATCAACAAAAGACGATCTCTGCCCACACGAGAGATGATGAGAGTTATAAAGTAACTAAATAACATAGGTTGCAACATAATAGGCCACACGGTCTCCACGGCTCCACCGCGCTGGGGAAGCACACATGAAGGTTTCCCGCCGCTCACCACACCGGCTTCCACTGATCGGGAATGCCAAGCCGACGACCGCCTCCACGGAGTCACCGACCTCGCGGCGCGAGAAGTTGCCAGCGGCACCTTGCTGGTCACGTCCTACAAGTCACACAGTAGATGACACAGTAAATCGCATAATAATCAAACAGTAAGCCACACAGACTGTTGCAAGTCCAAGGAAGGAAGGGTGGGTGAGTGAGACGTGAGACAGAGCACAGTCCACTGGCTCTGCTTATGTTGCCCACTAACTGTCGCTGATCAGCCACAGCTGCGAATTCAGCCCAGCATCACACTCAGAGTACAGGTACACACCTGCAGGAGAGAGACAAACACATCCATAGCAACACAAATACGGCACAGAGACCTCACAGGTCGTAACAGTGGTCATATATTTACCCGACAGAATTGACAGTGGTAAAGATGTCGGAACTATTCCACATTGAGATATTTGCAGCTGCAGCGGAGTTAAATATTAGAAACATCCACAGTAAATGTCAAGTTTTAGTGTCAGTGAAAAATAACAAGCAATAGTATCTTTCAAGTGGCTACTTTCTTACTTCTCCTCACACATTTAGTGGTAAAATCTAAATATTGGACTGATCTCTACCGGTCTTGTAGGGGACTTCTCCTGGAGCCCGGGTGCAGAGAAGCCTCCCGGGGTGACGCCGGCACTGGTCATGCCCACAGCAGCACCTGTGCTTCCCGGTGGTCTCGATGAAGATGAAGAGGGGGTGGAGGACATGGAAGAGGACATCCAGGCCACGGTGGCACGCCTGTCGGAGGCCTTCACAGCACTGAGGTCCGTCCTCACTCCACTTTTCTTCCGGGGTTTCTTCGCCTTCCTCACTTGGTGGGTCGCTGCCTGCCAGGTCATCAGCTCTCTGTTTGGTATCTACTTCCACCAGTACCTTATGCAGAACTAACTGAGGAAAACAAAGTGCCGTACTGTTCTACCTGCAATGCAGCCGCATTGGGGACATTTCATGAAAAACACACAACTACTGACAGTATGCGCCTTGTGACTGTAATAGGCGTTTTGATCAAGGTTTGCTCAGAGCAGACAGGCATTGTCTGTTCCAATATTGACCTTGCTGCCCTTATGACATTTGGCGACCAGCAGGCTACTGGTATCAGTAACACAAATTACAGAGAGAAGTGGGGGCCTGTATCGCAACGCAAGTTCATATTAGCCTGTCTGTCTTTGGGTCACCTTGCTTCACTAAGTCTGACATTGGCAATCCTTGTTAACTGGTATCACAAAGGTGGTTACTCTGGGTTTTACCGATCAAGCTACAGGTGCGTTCACATCACAGAGACAGAGTTCTTAATTACATGCAACATCAAAAGACAAAGGAGTGGAGAACTTAACTAGACACAGTGATAGCCACAGGGATATTCGGTTGGTATAGGTCAAAGGAAGCTGTACAAATCATTTCCAAATCGTTAATGTCGGGCTGTAAATACGTGTAAGAATTCTGCCTTTTTATATTTGTTTGGCATTTTCACCATGTTCAGTAGTCTAGATAAAGTTACATTTTGGTGATACACCTAAAAACGCTTAAAGGAAGGCTCTTTCTGCAGCTAAGACAGAGAAGAAAAGTGCAATGATGTGCGCAATTACTGTAATGAGCAGCTATAACAGCTATTCATTAGGCTGTTCATGTAGCCAAATGTTTATTAAAATGTATTAATTTAATTTAACATTTTAAACCCTGAGTGGACACAGCTGTACAAAAACAATTTCATATAAAAAGATTTTATAGTTCTATTAAAAAAGTGAGTGTTCATTGAGGGATTCATGACACCAGAAAACAAGAGTTAAGCCCAAGACACCCAGTTCAACCACTCATCTCGCTTTCGGATACAGGCCCCTGGTCATCTTCCGGCTACTTAAATTGCCGAAAAATGTTCCACTTTTCAGATGCCAGTGTCACCTGAATTGTTATTAATAAAACTGTGTTTAATGCTGCATATAAGTGTTTAATTGGTACCAGGGTAAGTATTAGTACTTAATCCCTGTGTAGATAAGACGTTTTATTTTTGCGAGGGACTCTTTGTCCCCCTTAAGGAACCGATTCAAGAGTGCTAAATGTTATTTTTTTGTTATCTGTTTCTGCTGTTTTGAGTGCAAATAAGTAGAAAAGCTCAGCTGAAGGTGAATCACAGTTGTGGCTGTGGACGTGTATTAGCCAAGAATTGGTGAGCTGTTTCTTTTATCTAAAGATTTTCCTACAGTATTCCTAAGTGCCTGGGAGCTCAGGGATTTTGAGTGGATTTAAAGTCTCCTTTCTCCCTGATCAAGATATTTAGAACCGATATAACTTGTTAATAGATAAAATTAACACTCCAAACACATTTCACACGTTTGTCTTTTTTATTTTTACACACTGACAACACGTCTTTTTAGGTTTTACTGCTTTTGTAGCCAGTCAGTCATGTACATGTATGATTAATAAAAGCTCAGCTTAGATCAGTTTTGCGGCAGTGGATTTTTATTTATTTATGATGCAAAGTTTCATAACATTTTTTTCGAATGATACAGATGCTGCATTTCTGTACATTTTGTATTCTGGGTTTTTTTTGTGTGTGTTGGTGTATTTAAATTGAATGTTTTGAAATCATTATACTGTGAGGTTCATATGAAAATGTTGCTCTTTGAGATCTTCTGAATGCATGGTGTGCAAACTTTTGGCTGTAACATGAATATTTTGTTTGTGTGGCTCAATAAAACACTTCATTATTTTCAGTCTCATGTCAGTTTTGATCTTCCCACCCAAATCTGCTTTCCCTCCAGGAGGGTGGGAGATGCTGCCGATAAAAACATTTCCTTTTAAAAATCGGTGCTCCATTTGACAAAAGACATCATGCTTGACAATGGAGTGTCTCGCCGCTGTGCTGGGTACTGATCTCTGACCCCCAACCTGCTGTGAAGATCATTCTTTAATTACTGATAATTACTATGAACCTGATGCCCCTCGAGAGTCTGGGAAGAAATATTATTTGTGGACGCTCAACTTGGCCGAAGGAGCCGTTACGGTTCCTGGAAGTTTTCCAGATCCTCTCCAGTTTGTCAGTGCAGTCTAAAAACATTCAAACCAGATTTATAAGTTTTATGGCAGTATTAGAACATTCAGATTTACATGCCAATTGTGTAACAAGAGTTCAGGAACGTCCCCTTTCACCAGAGCAAGACTGGAGAGGCTCTTTGTTCAATAGTTGACATGATGTATTGTCGATATCGTTTGACTTCCACATCCAATCAGAAGCCACAAAGCTTCTGTAGTTTAGAGAGGGACAGCCACCTCGCTGGGACATGCTTCACTGGAGGATAGCAAGGATCACAAAGACCCTGCGAAGTGAAGACATTTTGTAGTGCGCCTGTTAACCTGACATCCCATATTTTATGTCTGTTTGAAATTTAGCTCTGGCATGTTGTTTGAATATTTTCTTCTTGGCGACGATTATAGAAAATGTCCAGAGGAAATGTTCGGTTATTGTTAGACATGGCTGAGGGAGTACAAGTTGAGCTTTGTAAGTTACACCGTTGTAAGAAGCATTCTCACCTAGCATGACCAGTGGAGCTGTGCTCCTGTCTGAGCCTGTGACAGGCCTGTGAGAGGTTGACATATCTATATAATCACATTAATTATGTGCATCTGTGCTGGAGGCCCGAGGCCCCCTCAGTCTGATCTGTGGACTGGCAGCCATGACTGGCTGTGGTTGCTATAGAAACCTCTGTGTGTGTGTGTGTGTGTGTGTGTGTCGGACCCAGACATGCCCTACAGACTGGGTTGGCCTGGTCTCAGGGGAGCAGACCAGACATGACCCCAGTGAGAATCTCTTTTCATTTAGGGAGGACAGAGATGAACCGAGGCTCAACTCATGCTTTTAGCTGAAATGCTCCATACTGGTAGCATAAGGAAACATTCTGGCATAGTTAGTGTGAGACAACCAGCTGTGGAAATGAGCCTTTTTGCGCTAAATGTATGTCTCTGTAAAGGTCTCACAGGCTTTTAAGTGGTCCATTCTTGCTCCCCTCATTTAGTGGCTGCGTGGTGAGCTGTCTGACAGGGGCCAGACATGATAATGAGGGAGTGTGTGTGTGTGTGTGTGTTCAAAAGATGGAACGGAGGTGAATAAGACTAAATAAATGGACACATGAAAGCTTGATGCTGCTACACAGCGGATGGCATTTTATCTGTTTTCAGATTGAACATACAAGAAAAAAAAGATAATAATCTGAATGTCCTTTGTAGAAGAAAAAAGGGGCGAAGGCAAATGTACAAATCAAACCGTTTTTTTTATTTAAAAGGAATCACAACACATGTCAAATATAAATCTTTGTCAACCCAAAACATCAGAATACTGATAATTTGGTTTTTCATGCTGATATTAATCCACATAACTGCATAAAAAAGAGCTAATTCCACAGCAGCACTTGAACTTGAAGACCTCCACCGGCCAGCTCACTGAATCTCTGCAGAGTTTGTCATGATGTAGTTGTTCAAGGTCTTCAGGGTGAACCACTGAACTTGCGTCTTCCAAATGTTATGAAATAAGATGACCCCTTGTGGACGATAAGTGGAAATTCATTCAAACCCGAGTATGTTTTGTCATTCATGGAACAAAAGTTGAATATGCAACACTAAAACACACAGAAATCCAGTGCACAAAAATACAGTGCAAATTACATTTAAAGATATAATGAAAACTAAACATTCCTCAACAAAAAAGTAATTTGTGGGGGGGGTTAAAAATGCAACATCCTATGAATATTGAGACTCATTCATTACACAGTGTCTCATATATTTCTAAATATCAAGACAATAATGGCAGTAATAATATTTACAATATGCAATTACTAAATAAAGCCCTTCAGGAAAAAGAATTGATACAATTTGTATATTACTTAACTCAAATTAGACCCAATAAAGACAAACACACAATGTCTTTGGCTGTTTCAGTATTTGATTGCAGTGCATAGGGAAAATATTTGAACACTTTGGTTGGAGGAGACTGCCACAACTTTAATTATTGAAAAGTAGAGTAAAGTAAAGTAAAAAGGTGAAACTAGCATTATTTGAAGGAATAACATAACTAATGCTTAGCTTATCCACAATTACAGTCTTACAAACACACATAGAAGGAAGCCATTTTATGAACTTCCCAAAGAAACCATCATCCAAGTCCCTGAGACACACCTGATGCCTAGAATTTCTATGTACGGGTAGATTCACATTTTGATTCACAAGTCTGTCCGAACAATACCCATTTGTCCCCATGTACATTAAAAGATTTTTTGGTTTGCTGTAATTGTTCCTCCTGTCCATGCTGGCCCTGAAGAGATCCCCTGCTCAGCTTCAGCAGTCAGATAAATCAATCAATACAGTATTTTCTAGTACAAAACACCCTATTTGTGTTACTCTGTAAATCACCAAAGACACCAACTTCATTTGACTGTCTCAGATGTCTGAAGCCTCCTATCAGCTGAATTTTAGACCGCACAGCATAAAGACTGTGACTGATTTCTTATATTAGATGTACATTATGAATGGATATTTTCACCACCGGTATGGATAGGAGGATCAATTACGGCAAACAAAAACTATTTTACTATTAATAATTGTTCAAACGCAGCCTTGAGAAAATGTGAACTCTCTTTTAAAATGTCCCAGCGTATTTCAGAAAAGACCAAGGCTCCAGCAGCGGGTGATATCTAACTTGTTTTATGTGGGGAGACCATGTCACTGATTTTGGGCTGACGGCTAAGGCGGTTTTGAAGTTTTGGAGAAACTCAGCTGGTCCCGATGTGCTGCTGCAGCTAACTTCAAAAAAGTAACAGAACAAAACGAACACAGTTCAAATTTTATTTTTGCTCCACACAGAAAACTAAAACCTAACCAAACAAAAAGCGAATGTCTGTTTGCATGTGTCTCCTCATGGGACCAATCAAGTGATGCAGAGAAAATTCTCCATCGCCCAGGAGAGACCAGCTCTGTGTAAGGAGACAAAGAGAGGCGTTCCTCTCTGGGATGATGGGGACAAATTGACCCCATCTTGCTATCTTCTGTGGTGTGCATGTGTGTGTGTGTGTGTGAGTGAGAGGACTGGTTTTGATGGAAGATAGCTGATTGAATGGGTATTAGACGGCAGCAGCCAGCTATCTCTGCCACCCATCACTTATCTCTAACTGCCTGAGCGGCTGCCCTCCTTCCTCTTCGTCTTGTGGGTAGCCGGCTTTGGAAAACTCCTTCGTCTCATTGGCTGGACGGGCTTCCGGAGGGGTATGGCGAGCCGAATCGGGGTTGTTCATTGGAGAGTGCTGCCTGAGGTGGTGTAGAGGAGGGGAGGCGGGCGAGGACATGTGCTCAGGAGAGCTACGCTCCGATTTGATGCTGAGGTTGAGAGATGGGAGATGTGGAGAGGTCGAAGAGCAAGATTGGGAGGGGAAGGAGCACCCTCCACTGGACATCCTACAAACAACAAGAGCGAAGACAAAAGAAATGTCTGAGTTTGACCATCACCAATTCTGCAGTTTTGTCTGAAGTGCATAAGGTGAAACTTGATTCACAGATTAATCCAGCTGTATAGACAGTAAAACAAGGATACTACAATTACCAAAATAAAACATCAATAAGAGAAATAAAACCAGGTGTAGCCCAAGAACAAACATATTTTATAGGGGAAAAAAACCCAAAATCCAAATGCTGTTAACTTTAACACAGCTAAAATAATCTTTCTACACTCAAATATTTTGTTTTTATGATTAATATATTTATTATATATTTAAATATTTATTGATTTATTTTTTCTTTCTCTCATTGCCTTTGTTTTGACTTTGTATTCCTTTTTAAATTGTTTATATAATCCTTTTCAATTTATTTTAATTAATTTATGAATTTATTAATTCTTTTCTTTCTTTTTAATCTATTTATAAGGTTTTACTAAATTTCTTTTGATTATATAATTATTTTAGACTGTTTAGACTGTTTATCACATTGTTTTGTTTTCCAGTTGTTGACACCTGTTGGCAAATAATAACATCTTTTGAGGCCTCACTTATGGTTGCTTTCGGCGGATGACGTTTGTTAGTGCTCTTTTACGCCTGAAAAAGGTCTGATTGGTCGAAACGTTGCACAAAGAGTGAATAAAAGAACATTGCTGGAGCAACAGTGAGAGGATTCAACTTTCTGCCATGATCCCATGTTTTATCCACCTAGATGTACCATATTACGAATTAGTATCCTTACCCATGGTGCTCCTGAGGCGGATGTGCAGGCTGCCAGGGATTCACTGCTCCTCGCTGTAGATTAACAGAGTGATAGAAACCAGGTTGGCTGTACTCTGAAAAGAAAGAAAAGACATGGATATAAACTAAAAGAGAATACAAAGATGGATTAAATAAACCAGAAGCAGGTTATGATATGATAGATCATTCGCTATAAGAGGACAATTTGACATTTTGGGAAATACACCTATTCACTTTCTTGTTGAGAGTTAGATGAGACGATTAATGTGAGCTGTCTCATATCTTTACTACAGACATGCATGAAGCTACAGCTAGCAGCTGGCTAGCCTAGCTTAGCAGAAAGACTGGACTGGAAACAGCAGCCTGGCTCTAAAACTCACTAATTAACGTTGTTTAATCTGGGATTATATGCAGGACTATTTCCTGGACGGGTGTAGTAACTTCCTGGAATCTTGACGTCACTGTGATGTTGTCAGGCAACCATCTCTAATCTACGACTTTATGAGGTCACAACACCAGGCCAAAAATAAGCCCTGCACAATATCCTCATAAAAACTTGATGTTTTTGCACCTCAGCCTTTGTATATGTGCTGGAAGACAGATTTTGTTTCCTTTGGACAGAGCTAGCTGTTTCCCCCTGTTTCCAGTCTTTGTGCTAAGCTAAGCTAACCACAACAAACAAATACATATTGAGTGCCATCAATACTCTCATCTAACACTCAGCAAGAAAGCAAATAAACATATTTCCCAAAATGTGGAACTATTCCTTTAAAGTACCTTTTCATTTGCTTTGTCTTTTACATTTAGAATTCTTATTCAATTCAGGTTTTTCTCTAGTCACCCTAATCTACCATAGAATAGACGATACACAGCAGACATACCAGAGGCTCCATGAGAAGGGAGGCCATAGCCTCCCAAGCTGTGACCCAGCAGCCCTGCCTTGCCCATGGCTACCATGGAGCTGCCGCTGTGCAGGCCCTGGTACAAGACCCCCCTCTGATGAACCGGGAAAGAGAAACACCCAAACTTAAAATCTCAAGTTTGTAATCAATGATACAGTGTCATCATGGCATACATACTGCATAAAATATAAATATTATATCTGTGAGAAATGTGACTCTCTGACACTGACACCTTTCAATGTAGCTCACACTGGATAGTAACAGCTACTTACAGCAGAGCTGTGGTTTGCACGTGTGGCCCCCATGCCCTGATTAGCAGCATCTCCCCGAAGGTTTTCACCCCCCAGGTTCAGAGGAGGAGGGCTTTTCATATCCAGAGCTCGATTCAGGTTGCCATGGGAGAACACGGAGTAGCCAATACCTACACAGTCAAAGAAAGGAGCAGGAAGTGAAAAGAGATGTGAGCTTGTTTCACTCACAGAAGAATAATTTATTCTCTGTGACACATTCCTCACCTCCCTCTGTTTCTGTGTAGTGTGATAAAAATGAACTTCTTCTTTTAGTTTGACCTGAATTAGTATCTGGTCTTTATGGGACAATTAGCAGTTCATGTTAATATCTGTATATAATATTCTGGTGACAGAATCCATTTTCAACTGATCATAAACTAAGAATCAGTGTCAATTATTAGAAAGACTGTAATAATACTTTTAAAAATACTATGGCTCTCAGTGTCTAATGACATCATAGTGCTTCCAAATAGTTAACACTGTAAAAGCGGCTGACATGACTGGCAGGTGTGATACATTCTGTACAGAAACCACAGAACTGGTTACAGCCGCTGTCACACTGGTGGAGGGCCAGTTTCACAAAACAGTCCAACTGCATGTGTAGATTAGTGTGCACACACACGCACGTGCACACACGCTTCCTGTGAGTTCACAGCCAGCTGCACAGAAGGTTAGCAGTACACATGTGAATTTTACAGCAAGCATTTAGCAAGACCCTAGAGGAGCCTTTCATGGATTTCCACGTCAAATGTTTTGCATCTATTTTTAAGCAGAAAGCAGAACGGTAATAAATCATAATATGTATCTGTGATGCAGTGCCAGTTTTAAAATGCACAACTGTGAATTTCTGATGTCTTGGCCACCATTGAATTGGTGACTTGTGACCAAGTGACTGAAGTCCATTCAGTGGAGAGTTTTAATTCAGTTTAGTTCACTATGAAACTCCTCCTTGTCATAAAAAGTGCCATTGCTGGCTGCAATTATGACATGTAGTATATAGTAATACACAAATATATACATTATAATGCTAATTATTACTCTCAATAGTATGTACTGTAAAGTTTGTGGAATCCATGGTCCCTTTGTCGTCTGTAAATCTTGAATTGACTGTTGGCTTTTGTGAAAATGGTCACAAAGTAAATTCCTGTTTTCTTGAAAATCTGTCACTTTGCGATTAAAGTGATTCTGGTAATGTTCAGACAGAAGGACTGGCTGGTTCTGCTCACCTGAGTGTGGCGACATGAATGCAGTGTGTGCGTGTGGCGCAGCGGGGCTGGCAGAGCCATGTCTGGATGTCAGAGGTTTAAAGCCTGGGGGTCTGTGGGATGCCATGCTGGATCCGGAGGAGTTGGGGAAGCTGTTCTCACAGCCTGCAGACACCAGGAACTGGGCCTCCGGTGAGAGAAGCGATGGGCCCTGAAGAGTAAAATGTATAATATCAGCATGAGAATTAAAGTCCACAAGCTATCAAGAAGTGAAGAAACATGGCAATTTGAGTTGTGAATTAGAAGAATTCCCATTTAAACACATCAGGTCATCACTTCAGGTCAGCTCGGCCTGTGTGTGTGTGTGTGTTCTCATGCTCGTGTGTGTTGTGAATGTGCAATAGCAGAAGTGTGTGTGGACTGACATAGAAGCGTTGGCGAGCCACAGAGAGATCCATGCCCTCGCTGAGAGGATATTTTGTCTGCGGCCACCTGCATGCTCTCCTCACCGTCGAGCTCTGAGGCATCGAGACCGAGACCTTTCCTACGCAGAGTCTGATAAAGAACAGAAAGTGCACACAGGAAATTACCCACAATGACAGCATTTATGTAATTTTTCGTAAAAGTTTGCAACTTGAAATTCATGTTGCCGCTTCCGCTCTGAAATAATTGACTATTTTGTTAATGCTAAATCACGCTTTACTGTCATTTCCTTGACTAGCAGCTTGGACAGTACCTCCAGTATGTCCGTGTTGGTGCGACTCTCGTGTGGCTCGCTGTACTCTGTGTACTTGAGCAGCACTTTGTCCATGTCTGTGCTGGCGTACTGGAACAGACGGTTAGTGCTGTTGAAGATGATGAGGGCGATCTCACAGTCACACAGCACGCTCAGCTCATAGGCCTTCTTCATCAGACCAAACTTACGCTTGGTGAAAGTCACCTATTAAATGAAAAACACACAGAAGTTTGTGTCATCTTGCCTTTAAGTTCAGCCAATTACTGATGATGAAGGCTACATGCATCTTAAGTATTTAGATCAACGTTAAGTCAAATATTTAAAAAGGGTTTTGTATTAACTTGGTACTGTCCTGCAGAGTTGTGTGATGAGACAAAGTGCGTTGTAGCAGAATTTTTAAAATAGAAAAAAATAATTTTGACCAACTTGGATTAGTCGCCACATAATCAGCCTGTTATCAGATGAATGATTACTGCTGCTTAAAAAAATGCTGCTAAAGGTAGGGTTGGGTTGGGAAATCATTGCTTTAAATAAAGGACAAGCATAACACACAAATCCAAACTGATCACTTGCAAATACACATAAAACAGGGTTGGCAGTCAAGTATATTTATACAGCCTCAGACCTTCAGTTCAGATAAGAAAAAACTCTCCAAAACAAAACTTATCACCAAAAAAAACATTTTAGTCCTAGAGATCAGATATGAGAAACAAATTGTATTTGTCGGCACTCTGAGCACAGTTTAACACATTCTTCTTGGTGTCTACAATGAATCCTTATGTATACTTAATGTGTTTTCTCATACATACTGTTTAACATATTAATACGCTATGAGTATGACGTCAACATTTCTCACACATTGCAGTATTGCAATGACATTACTTCAGTCTGTGGCGAATCAGAAGAATATAACTTGTGAGAGTAAATTGACGTCAAGATTATAATAAAGAATCTGCGCTGTCAGATTCATCTTCCAGCAAACTTATAAATTGTCCTCTAATGTATTGTCAAATATTTCTTCTTTTAAGGCATTAATGATATTTATTCCCCATATGTCATGCTGTTAAAGTGCTCTGTACACTTTCAGTGTAAAACAGCATCTCAATTTCACCTTGTCGGTTGTGTCCTTTTGTAAATAAAAAGCTATAACGTTCATAAATTAAGTCTCACAGTCATTTAACTGAAAAATTATGAAATTATTAAAAGAAAATTAAGTATGCATGCTACAATTACTGTAAAATGTAACTATGAACCCTCTACTGTCTCATCATATCATCATTATCATCATAGAAAATAAGGCCTGTTATCATTCTAGATATATCTAGATATCAATGTAGCGTACCGTAAATATCACTGAGGCAAACCCACAACATACAAGTACAAAAAAAGGTTATGGTTTTTATTCTTAATGTATAAATAAAATATTGCCTGCAGGCCCACCTGTCTATTCCTCTGGTCCAGAATACGAGAGATTTGTATTTTCTTTCTTCCCATTTTTTTCTGCAGTGTGACACTCTGACCTGTAAAAGAAAATATAACAATGTTTTAGTAGCAGAATAAATATGTTGAAAAATAAAATGAAGTTGTGTGAAAAATGTTTGTTGAGGCTCAAAGTCCCATTTATATGCAGTGGCCCCTGAACTAATGGTCTATTCTTGTGTATATGTATATATTTTACAATAACAACAGTACAAATATTAAACAATACTTCTCTTCATATAATTCTGGTAGGAAAATGTCATCCATTTGGTTTAAGTGATTAAAGTCCCATCCCCCTTGGTAAGGGCAGGGTGTTTATTTTTACCACCATGAGGCGATGCGGTCTAAAGTTAGAGTGGCCCTTGCCGGGCCAGCAGTCCACACAGTCTGACACCCCCACAGTCTGGGTTACCCCCAGGCCAGCAGCACAGTGCTCGACTGCACCGCACAGCCCCAAGAGACAGGGTTAAAAATACAGTCTATAGCTCCTTTTAAAGGTTCAACAGGCAATAGCTAAACCAAACAGCAGAAAGTAAACGGTGTGTTTTTGAAAGATGGATGAAGCTAAAAACCACCCACTCCTCTCTCATGCACAGCCAGGTCAGAAAAAAGCAGGATTTAGAGGGGCAGGAGGCAAAGGCATGGATGGATTGTGGTTGGCTTGAGAATGTCCATTTTTGAAACTTACACCCACTGTTTTTCTTTTTTCCTTAGTCTAGAAAACCCCTAGGCCTGTCCCTGTCCCTGCAGCAAGGGCATAGAATTTAGTACGGACATGTCCCTACCAATATCCAGCGACTACTGCATTGTCCCCCACTGTTGTCAGTGTCCATGCAATGTATTCGGTACACAAACGGTTAACAGCTCTTGTTCTCTACTACGAGACCAATGGGTTTGTCGTCCCCACCAGCAGTGACATGAAATGTCCGCCCTTGCCCTGCAGGACTGTGTACCGAGCCGGCTACTTATAGAAATGTGAAACTAGAGGACAATTTTCACCCTATTGCATTATGGGAAACAGCCATGATGTGACTTGTGCTGCAAAACCATACAACACTACATCAAATGTCTCTGCGTATGAGTTATCTCCATTTAACACTCCACTATAAGTCAAGCTACGTTAAGTGGTGACCTGACTATACAGTGATTCTCCAAAGCCCAGAGGAGTTTTCACTGGTTTTCCCCCTCAGTACTTGACATGTATTGGACTTCTCTATATTTAGTTCCCTGTCCCTCCTGATGGTGCCTGAGCGGATATGGCGCCTGTGTTCCCACGACCCCTACAGTGCCCGCTGTCTCTCAACGTAAGCTTGGCACACAGGCTTCTGGGGCAGTTCTGGAGGAATCCACCTCTTTGCCCTCATTATTACCTTATAAAGTCCTGTGATGTCCAGTGTGCTGCTGAATATGCTGCAGAGACAAGACACACCTCAACACCGACAGCGGCAGTTAAACCTGTCACTGCCATTGTCTCTATGATAAAAAAGGGGACACTGTGGACAACTAGCTCCTGCTTCAATGCAAAAGGACCACAAAAACCAGGACTGGTCTGTCTAACTTACAACTTGACCACGACAAAGAACTGAACACAGATCAGGCTGTTCTTTTTTGGGACCAGAAGTGAGACAATTTAACCTCATATCAAGGCATGTTAATGATGAGAAGAGAGGGAAGTGGGACATGTGCTCTAAACAGGACAGAAAGATCTTTATCTCAGGGTTTTACAGAAGGTTCCTCTCCTCTCAGATATAACTAAACAACGACAATCACTACCACAGACAGCCCTGTTAAAACACATAACTAGCTGGGTAAATATAGCTATACTCCAGCCAAACGGTGTATACGGAGTTTTTTATCTTTATAACTGCATGTGGTTTAGTAGGTTTGTTGAAGGCCAAGACAGGCAGGAAGAGCCTGGCTGTGCCTCACACATCAGCTAATTCTGGATGTTTTCCCGTACAACAACTGCCGTTTGAGGTCTGTGAATGCACCAGAGCTAGCCCTAGCAGCACGCACCTAATGCATGTGGCCTTTCATCTTCAAGGTCAGCTCTCATCACTGAGTAAATGAAATTGCAGGCCTTCTTTTTTTTACTTAATGTCGTCAACCAGTCCCAAAAGTATTATTGTAAGACATGAACGTAAAACAGAATTGCTGTAGTAGTGCAATAATTGCACACTTGCCCCTGGGTCTCAGGCTTCTACAGGGAAAGACGGCACCTTTGTCAGACGCCTTCCCAGAGGCGAGGCAGTGGAAAAAACTGCACAGCGCACAGTAGCCCTGCTCTCTGACATACCCTGGGCGCTTCTATCTAATCGCTGGAGACATCACTGGGACAACAATACACCTGAACAGACAACTAAAAGCGTGTGCATCAACAGATAAGATCATTCCAATAGGTTTGATCAGTTGTTGTGATGATACTCATTAATGTATCGCGCTGGATATTTTTTCTTGCTGCAGTGATCTGTATGCATGAATGAGGAGGGGAAAATAAGTAGGGCATTTCTAGAGTATTGAGGGTTCTGCTTCGATAGTTTTCTTTCCATGAGTCATTCAGAGCATGATGGCTTGTCAATGTGTCAAATACATGGTAAACACGTGTAAGAATATTAGCCAAATAAGCTAATGGCTTACTCTGTGGTGGCAAAGCAGCTTCCTACAACACCAGTCACATTTTCTCCACTATACAGGTCCATATGCACTATTGTTTTTTTTAAATATTGCTAAATATTGTTATCAGTTTCCCCCAAGAGAATTAAAAAATAAAATACTGCAGCAATAATCCTTTTAGTTAACTCTCTCTTAATCATTTCTGCACCACTGTCTTGTTGCCACTATGGAATACTATTTTTCAGCAGTACTGCAGCAGTGTGGATGACACCTAAACTCTGGTGAGCAGCCTTGTATTTGCTGTTTTTAGTTATTTTAGTCACTCCTGTGTAAGTCACAAGCCTGAAACCAGGCCAAAAACTGTCTCCAGAAAGAGAAGACTGGCACCATAATTTGCATGAACCAATATATAAATCCTCCCAAACCCAAGTTACAAAGGGTGGTGACCAGACATTTTAACTTTAAAATGTCACTGGCACAGTCTTACCCACTCAAATCAAAAGTGAAATGCATTTTAAGAAGAGGAAGCCCCTCGTGTAACTCTTCATTTGTTACTAAGGTTTTGTGCTCAAAGCCAAAGACTGACATTTGTTGATTTGAAAGCACCGGTATACCAGGATTAATAAATGCTGTGTTTGTTGCCTGTGTGCCATCTTCAGGGGGTCAGGCAGTTCAGCGGGCCTTTGCAGAGCAATGGTGAGGAAATATTTGTCTAATTTTAACAGGAGATAATTGAATTGCCTTGATATTTTTGATAGAGTCTGAATAGCAATAGTACATGCAGGCACCAGCTGAACTTGAAAAAGTTTTTCATGACTTTATAAAGTTGTTTCCAATGGACTCTAAGTAACTGTGAAGATGAGACACACCTTAATGAAAACTGACAACTTCTTTTGACAGGCAGAGATCATCACTTTTTTTTCCTTTTTACAAAAGGCTCTATCTCTATCTCTCTATCTGCCTATCTATCTATCTAAGTGGCTAATTGTAATTTTGCTACTCAGCTCAGAGGGTGAATTATGCTACAACTTATGAAAAGGAATAAATGTGGGAAATACCGAGCTGAGATGCTTCTTAAAGTCGCACCAAGTGTAGGCTATATGGACTTAAAGATCCGCGGGATGTGCCAAAATCCAAAGGACGCGGATTCGTTTTGCGCAGCCAGCTATTCGGCTCTAAAAATAAAAACTGTAAAAATACATTGCTCAAAAAATGTTTGCGGATAATTAAGTCTAATAAATTGCTGACGTCATTCAAAATACACCGTTTAAGAATAGCCTGACTGTCCCCGAGTTGCCAAGCATCCCTGTCAAATATAGCTTCATCTATAGGCTGCTTTCAATAACACAGCAACAGGTAGGCCTACTTTGCTCACAGCTGTGCCATAAATACTGCCGCACAGCAAACTCCATTTGCCTTAACAACAACAGGGTTATTAAAAAAGAAAGTACACGCACACGCTTCAAAAACATCTGATCTCACCTGCTCTCGATCTTCTTCTCTCTGTTCACCCCCGGAGTTTCACCCGCTTGATCGAGGAACCAATCAGACAGCAAAAGTCGCAGATGGAAAAAAACATCTATGTCTCGATGAGCAGAAGTGTTTTGCTTCGTGTCCTTGTCTCGGTGTTGATGTTGAGATATTCACCTGGTGCGGTAGTAGCGGATGGTTCAGGAGCGCTGCTCTCCAACAGCTGGCTGCTGCACAGCCCGCCTCTCTCTGTCACCATACACCGCCTCCTCAGCCGCGCCATTGGACACACTCCTCCGCCTTCAAACGCACCATTCACTCACCCAAGACTGTCAGCGAGATCACAGCAAAGTTGCACTACATAGGCTACACTTTTTTGTGTAGGGCTACTAAAATAAATAAACGCGTAATAGAGTGCAAACACCAACCATTTGGTAAGATTGTGTCCTACGAAGCTTTTTTAAAAAGTAGTTTTAATTAAATGTAGAACATCATCACTGGAGGGGTGGGACAGTGGAAAGTGCTGTCTTGTGATGTGATATTTGCATATTTTTGTGGAGAAAAAATGTTCTAGAGACGGTGCGGCAAAGCCTGCAAAACAACATCTATGACCATCAAAGTTATATGACATAACATGAAAAAGTGTAAAGTGCAAAGAACATCTGACACGCTGATTATTTTTGTGACTGTGTTATGGCTGACAAAAAAAATAAAGAACTTATTGTTCATCTTAATGGCGACCATCTGCAGCTGGGCCCTTGGAGGCTCTAGGTTTTGATGATGCAAGCCATTCTTGGCTGGCATCATTGTTGATTTCCTAAAATAAATTGTGGTGAGACTAAAATACTATTTTCTTCTTTGGGATTTGTACCGTTCGTTTTGAGTAATGCAGCTCATGAAGGTTTTTCAACACTCAAAATGGGCGGTTGTGTCGCTTCAGTTAAAAGGTGATAATGGCTGAGTGATGTATAAAATTAAATGGTGTTTGGTTTGGTTTGGTGTGGTTCCTGTATGAAAGACACTGTGAACTCAGGGGGTATGATCACTGGCTAATATGTTTACTGTAGGCCCTATGTGAACACACCTGGGGGGGGGCACATATTAAAAGGCCTGAAGGAATTTTACAGCATGCCTGGAAGCAGTGATTCCTCATGTTTTTAGCTCCTGAAACCATAATCCAATGCAATGTCAACTAGTGTCACAGGTTGCATGAGCTGTGAGTAGCTCAGAGGGTTTTTCCCTTGAATATTTTTAGAGGCCAGAACATGTAAAACTACTCAGGTAAAAGCAAAGGTTAGAGAAAAGGCAGAAAAAATTATGTAATTTTGTGCAACTGAACTTTGCTTTTTCTTGTTTCCTTCCCTGATAATAATCTCATGACCCCTTTGTCATATACAAAAGACGCATTCTCTGTGTAAATTATGTACTTTTGATTACAGGGGTGCAGCATGAGATTAATTGAACTCTGCATTGATTTTTTATTTTCATGATCTGAAAATCCCACACTAATTCAGGGTTTTCTACAGCTGCACTCTGTATTTACTCTGTTAAGTGTGAAATGAGAGGAATTATGCAGGGACTTTTATTGGAATTTTGAAACGGTTAATTGCAGTTGCAAAACACATTTTTGCATCTCATTTCTCAAAACATCAACCTCATTCTGAAAGGAAATGTCAGAGTAATTTTAATCTTGCTGCACACCGTGAGCTTTTCAACAGTGCAGCACTGGATCAATAATTCCTTATTGTACCAACTTTTTAACTTCATAAAAATATATTAATAAATATATTTATTGTGGTTCAATAGACCATCTTTCAACCAAAGCAAGCTGGTTCAAGTATATTGGCAGGCATTCACTCTGCTGAAGTGTCCACAGGTAATTCACAGAATCCCTGCGGATTAATTAAGTGTTATATATCAATCTGTTTAGTGCCTCAGTATCATATCATCAGGTCACTGTTGCCTCTCCTCATAGATTGTGGCAAAATTCTGCTGTTGTTTAGTTTAGATGAGTGAAATGAGTGAATGTATTGCAGTTTGATTTGGATTATAAACTGAACCTTAACTACCGCTGTGAACTTAAATGATTGTAATTTTCTGTATGTACAGGCCTATGGATTGTGTGGGACAAAATTATAGGAACACCTAACTGTAAGCTAGAATGGATTACAACGCCACCACAAGTTACAGTCCCCAACATTGCCAGAGTTCAATCAACAACTCATTGAAAGTTACACTGCACATAAGCTTCAGAGGGGGACGGTATCTGTGGCAAGGCTGCTGTATAAGATATTTATTCTATTGTACAGTTACAACTGTTGCTGTGTTCACCCACCGTGCATATAAAAAAAAATTACAGCCCTTCTGTCTGAGTGTCATGTGTCCAAACTGCTGCATAGCCACTGTAAATTTGCCTGTTTATAAGCTATCCCTGGGTGTCATTAATGGAAGTGAATGGGGTGGCAGAGGTAAAGGAGAAAGGGGAGGAATAAAATGCTCAGAAAAGCAAAGCTAATATACTAATGGCAAACACACATGCTGTCAGCTTAATGGATATATTTAGAGGTATTAACTGAATCACTGCATGAGCTGCATTATTGACTATTTTTGGGATGTGACACAATGTACTCCTAAAAATAATGTAGAGAGAATTTATTAGCACAGATCATCTGTGTAAGTCTGGACAAGAACTCTGTTTCTCTCTCTCTCTCTCTCTCACACACACACACACACACACACACACACACACAGATAAACATATCAAGACACAGAGAGCTATGTATGCACAAGCACACACAGTTTGAGATCCCCCAGAGGTAACTCAAACTGTGTATCTGATGCAATAGTTAGCAACATCCCTGCAGACTTACACAGCCTATACCTCCAGGATTCACCTGGGTGGGCCCCGTCAATCCGACAGAGACTAGCGCAAACCCATCTGTGAATACAGCAATCTAATCACCTGCAGCTAAGAAGGAATTATATCTTTCCTCAGTGTGGGGTTTATGCAAGTGTATCCTTCGTGTTTTTATTCTAAACGCTGGGAGAGCTCCATCAAGCCGGAGACTGCGGGCTGAATTGCAACCACAATTATTAAAAATGACTGATGAACACAAAAGTCGAGGGCCACAAAAGCATAAAGTAAAGTACTAAAGGTGCCTTTGACAACTTTCCGTATCGAGTCCATTTCTTTTTTTCATTTTCCTGAAACTTCTCACTTCTGCTTTCGACAAGATCAGCCTCGACCCTTTTAGAGCATGTGGTGAGGCTGTCGAATTCAGAAATAGCTTCCCTGGTCAGTGTACATGTGTGAGAGCAATTGTTCACATTGTGTACCTTTATAGCTACAGTCTTATCTACATCTCAACAGAATAAGGGTTACACCTTTACCCCCCCCCCCCACCACCACCACACACACACACACACACACACACCAAGCCCCAACCTCTAACAGAACAATAAGGCGCCTGTAACACAAGTCACATACTTTAAGTAGGCTATGTCAAGGTGTTTGCGGCCCAGCAGCTTGGTAAATGTGAAGTGTGTAGAGAATATTGAATATTAAATATTAATGCGGGCAGATACTGGACAGGGTACTTATTTTATTTCATGGTTGTGACATGCAGATAAAAGTATAGGCAGAAGTGATCGTTTATATAGATAATTGTAAACTAAATGAACGCAAGAAAGTGCATCTCTGATAAGCTGTGCATGTTTCCATGGCAACTAGTGGAAAGTTAATTAGATTCTGAGGAGCTGGACTAAGAATAAAAGAGGTAGTCTACTCTAATGAAGAGGGGTTAGCTGAGGTGGCCGCTGCTGCTGCTGCATAGTCCTCAAAAGTTAGCTGTAATGCACACCTGCCATGGTCTCACTTTGCACAAGAACAACTTTAGGACTTTTTGGACATGGTCACATTTTGCTTTATTTTATGAACTTTATTTTTATCAGCACTTTCTTCTTTCTTTTAGTGTAATGCAGAAGATGATTAAATAGCCTGCTGGGAAGACCTATTGTAATCCTCTAATTACGTTATGAGGATACCAGGCTACATGACAGCATAAGTAGGCTAATCTATTAGCCCACTGCCATATCAGCAAATAGCCTGTGGGTTCCAATCCTTGAGGACATGTTTCTGAGATTTCTGTCTGTTTTTCTTAAAGGGTATCTAGAAGATAGTGCTTTCAATGAATTATTTGTACAAATCCCTCATTATAAAAAGGTATATTAATAGTTAAATTAAGTGCTTATATTAACTTCTAATGGGATTGTACTGTTTTGATGTCCTTCGTTTTGTCCGGTGTTTTGTGTTTGGTCAGTGAGCTCTGATTTCCCAGGAGCACGTCAACGCATTGTTTCCGAGGATCCAACAGAAAAAGTCCATTGTTGTTGCGAAGTTTTTAATCTGGGGATTTAAAGCACATCACATGCTCAGACTGGGCAGCGGGGCGCTCTGCCACAACAAGCAAACCACTGCAAAAATCCATGTTGGGGAAGAAAACATTTATCCCGCAAGGACCTACGAAAACGTTAAACACACACATTGGAATACCAGCGCACTTTTGGGGAGTTTAGGATCGACGAAGAAGTGAAAAGTAAAAGTCCCGACCGGGAAAGGGAAACTTTTTATTCTCTGGAGAAACCGGACCGCCGGAGATTTAGGATGACGCTGAAATACAGCCAGCGGTCTCTAATAGTCCTGTCTTTACTGGGGATTTTATCGGCCATCATGTCCGTTTTATCAGTCATTTTGATTTTCCAGCTTCAGGCTCAACAGACAGCAGTGAAGGAGTCCCCACCTTCCACCTCCTCGATCATTCCTGCCCAAGTCTGGGTCGTCCTGCTCCCCGTCTCCACAGTGCTCTCTGCGCTGTCCCTCACTCTCAACCTGAGCTCCGTGGTGGTGTGTCTCCTCCACAGCTATTTCTCTGCAGAGGTCTGCAGGGGGGAGCAGGATGCTGCTGAAAGGTAATTTAGACTGCATGTAACGCAGTTTTTTTTAAACAAACAAACACTGCGGCAGCTCATGTCTCAGCCTCGTCACACACTTGTAAATGCTACTTTTGAAATGCCTTCAAACATATGCTTCAAACGCACCACGCGTCACTCACCCAAGACTGTCAGCGAAATCACAATAAAATTTACACTGCATACACTTATGTGTAGGGCTACTAAAATAAATAAATAATAGAGTGCAAATCACCAACCATTTGGTAAGATTATGTCCAAAGAAGCCTTTTAAAAAAGTAGTTTTCCATTAAGTGTAGCATATCACTTCTGATAGAAACGCACCTGTGATCACCGTACAGTTAATTGCAATATGAGTGGGCCTACGCCACTTGCGCAGGAAAGCAACCTTAAAAGCAAGACTAGGCTAAGAATTATTTAGAAGAAAAGATTATATTTCCCTAACAAATAAAAAGTTAAGGTTATAAGCAGTACAACCCACCCTGACTCACTTCAGCACACTCAGAAGTTTTGCTGCTAACGTTATGTCTAACTTGGTCTGATATGACCAGTAGCTTTAGTGGCTAATCTTAGCTAATGTTCGCAAACATTGGATGTTGTTGTGTAACGTTAAGGGCCACCCCGCAGTTTACTTGTGTTACTGTTAACACTGCATTTAAGCATTTGCTAGTATCCTGAAAATGTCAATTGTGACCACAGTCGCTACTTGTTAAGCAAAAGTTACATAAGTTCACTTTAACTAGTTGTTAATAAGTGCAATGAATGACCAGGAAAGTAGAAACCCCTGTGCTATGTCATGCAATCTAATAGCCTACAACAAACTTGTAATAAATCCTTAAGTTTTAAAACCACTTGAAACTTTTTTGAACTGTTGTTAACAATATGCTGGAGAGAGTTTGTCCATATATGTAAATGAGAAAAGCAAAATAATGTATAATATTCAACATAATGCAGAGGAAAACAACCCCACCAGAAAGTACAGCCTCAAATAATACCCCTGAATTGAATTAATGCCCTCCAAAAACTTCACGTTTAACAAATGGTCATAACTATTACAAGACTATCGCACTGCATTGCATTACTTTCTACAGAGCTTCCTATTTTCTGGTCACACATTCAGCGTACAACACTGTTGCTATAAGTGGAAAATATAATTTAATCTGTTTAGTATACATTTCTGCTTGTGCCTAAACAGACTTCTTAAATTGTTCTTGTAAGCCACAGCAGATTCTGGATGTCTGTATTAAGTTTCCTTAAAAGAAAACATTGTTTTGGAAGCATAAAAGGGCCTTGCTTATGTGTCAGAGTGCAGAGGCCTGCACCGCAGTGTTGTTGGTCAACCCCCACCTCTCAACCCTTATGAATCCCATCTAGACAATGGCCTTCTTCTAATTATGCACCCAGCACACGGCCTCTAGCTGGCCCTTTCCCACGTTGGTTTACAAATCCAACAGCCCAACCCAGGACCTTCCTATTGACAGAGGGGAAATTCCAAGAAAATGTGAATAATAATGAGCTTTACAAAATAGCTAGCATATAATCGTACCCAAATAATCACTACACAAATGTTTTAGGACTCAAGAGTTCTGATGTACAAATTTATCAGGGAGAGATAAATCAAAAGGAAACCAAGAAAAGTTTATTGTATTGCAAAAAAAGTCACAATGAACTGAAACAAAAGTAATGTGTAAACACAGTAATTATGTTGCATGCTTCATTTATGCACTGATGAGAAAAGTAGAAGTGTTTAAGTGTAAGCATGTCTAAGGCACAACACTGAACAAATGACATTTGTTTCCACAGAGAAGACTGGTTCCTTTTGGATAGCAGAGCTGTACGACATGTGGCTATAGGACTGTTCTGCCTGGGGGTTTCTGTCTATTTGGCAGGTAAAAGCAAAAGATGTTTGTTTTTTTAAGATTCTGGACAACATGATGCTCATTCTGGCATGTACCTACTTATAGTTAATGTTGAAATGCAGGTTAGAACTGGGCCCCTGTTGTTGCTTTCTAGCGCACATTTGTACATTTTCATTGTGCATGTGTTAAGCTTTTGTAATTTGAATGCAAGATGTTTTAGCCTTTAACAACAAACTAAAAACAAGTGTCCAAAACACTGGCAGTGCAGTTGATTTTCAACAGCACAGACGAAACCAGCATGGCTGCTTTCTCTCGGGTCCGTCCAGCGAGTCCAAGAGAACAATGCATTCTTTGAGCAGCGTCCATGACTTAAGTGTTTTTAATGCTGAACCTGGTAGCGCTGTGGTCCTCTGTTCCAGTGAGCGGCTTGTACTGGGGGGTGGGGGTGGGGGTGTCACTGGAGGCAGTCACTTCATTGTGATGAGGAGGTGTCGCACTTATGACCCCACTTCAGGCCTCAATCAAGAGGTAGTAGAGCGAGGGACGGTAGATGGAACACCACCAACTCAGGAAGTCACATCGCAGAGCTGTGCTTTTCTCCCCCTTCCTTTAAAATGCCTGAGTCTGTAGTCCTTTTCCTGGAGATAAACATAGGATAGCTCAGCTAACAACAGCCTTTATATCCCTAAACAGCCTTTGACATTTCAACAAAATTAAATACATTTTTGAAAAGCAACCAACTGCTGTAATGTGGAAAAACTAATGTGAAAATAACAATGAACCAAAAATTGAGAACCTAGTAGCAAACCCAGATAAGTCAAAAATAACAACTTTCAAGGTCTTTCGTTTAAAGTTATTTGGCACATTACACATTAACCCAATAGCCCATGAACATTGTTTGCTGGTCATTTAGTGTTTCTGTGTATATAAATTCTCTGTTTTTCTACCACCCTCTTCTCTTCCGTGGCAGCTATGTCCATCTTTATGCTCCTGATATTTGAGGTGGAGACGGGCATTGCAAGCGCTTGCATACTTGCCTCTGGGATCTTAATACTACTCATCGTTGTCATCCACTCTCTGGTCAAAGCTTCCCATAGTGCCAAGCACTACCACAGCGACCACCTCGACACCCTCTACCAGAATGACCACAGAAGCAGCAGCACACCCGTCTCCCGACCCTGCGAGCTCAAAGTAGGCGTGGACAAACCCCGGATTCACCGCAGCCAGTCTCACCTCCAGCATCCGATCTCCTACCCTCAATGTGGCAACGCGAGACAGCGAGAACAATACCAGCAACAGCAGTACTCCCCGGCTGGAGGTTCCCAGGGCAACGTTAGCGATAAAGACGGCTACAGCAGTGGAGGCAGTTGTCCCCGAATGCACAGGACCCTGTCTACTGAGTCTGGTTTATTGCAGGCCCAGGCTAAACCCTGGAATGGGGTCAACAATGAGATGAGGAGCGTCCTTGCACGCAAGTCAGGGATTTCTGCAAGGGACTCTACTCTTGTGTGACATAAAGGAAGCTGAGCTTGTGATTTAAGACACTAGTGACCTTTGCTTATGTCACAAGAGGACTGCTAACACAAGTGTCATCTCAAACAACCATAAAATTGTCAATTTGTACTTTTTTACATTCAGCATGTTTACCCTGACTCATTGCAGACGCCATGAGATAGAGATATAAAATACCTTCATCTACTGATTTCTCCTGTTCAGATTATAAAGCATTTTAAATTTGATTTGGACAGCACAAGTTAGTGTTTTTTTATGAATGAACACGATATAAATCTCATTACACACACCAATCCTGCCTAAATATCATTCTGGCAAATTTATAGCTTTCACTGTAATAATGTAAATACTTATACTGATGTATATGGTGGCCATTTGCCAAATATTTGTGCAGAATGAACAGATGTGTTTTGTGTGTGTTGTTCGAAATTATTTCATATCAACCCCAAATTATTAATTCATTTTAGAAACATAATTCAGTTTAAAAAGTGGGATGTCTATCGACACCTGAATAAGACATTAAAATGATGTTCATAAAAACATGTTTTTTGAATTGTCATTTAAATTCAAATTTCAGTCATTTATAACAAAATACAGGGCTGAATGTGATTACATCATGTCTGGAGGAACTACTAACCTTGGACACCTCTGTCCGGAGGTCATGAGGAAGAGGATTGGGCATGTGGAGCAGAGACAAGGGGACTGGGAGAAGGGTTCATATCATCACTTAAGGGTCATGCAGGTATCAGTGGGAAACCAAATACAGCACAGACAAACAAAACAGAAAAAATGAAGCTCCCATTAACTACAAAGAGTTCAGAACAGGCCTGATAAATATTTTGCAGTTATTGGGGAAATAAACTGGGTTTAACTGAAAGAGGGGAAAAAAACAAGATGTATTAACTGATGTACCAAAATGAATGTAAGTGAAATATTAAATAAACAGAAACAAAGGTTATACATGGAAAAGGTATGATGTGGAGCAAAGAAAGAATACAAACAAGATTAAAAAAAGTACAAGGACCCATGAGTGGATCTTGTAACATTTTTGTAGGGGAGGGTGATGTGACCAAGAATTCTCTGGCTTGTTTAAATATTGACAATAATTATATCAATTACTATTTTTGTTTTGGGAGATAATTGTGTATGAAAAAACACCAATAATGACCATCCCTCTCCCAAATGATAGAGAAAACAGTACTTGGCAAAGTGAGAAAGGCCCTTATATTAACCTGAGATAAAGGCACTTTGTGGAGATATGTTGTCTTACTGCTGTTATTCATAATTAACCTTTAAAATATTTAAAACCCACGGGAACTGCATTTGCACACCAGATTCCACATTTGAAAAAAAAAAAAAAAAGTGACAGTCACTATTAGAAACAGACAGTGCTGGAAAGAATTTACTTTGAAGCTTAACTAACAGCCAGCGAGAACTAACTGCTGCTCAACAAATGCCGGTGTACATCTAAATCTGCATGTTCTGTTGCTTTTTAAGTGCTTGTTATTATAAAACCCTCTTTAGAAAAATTTAAAGAAATTAGTTAACATTAGTTCCAACAAAGCAGAGCAAAGGGGCCAGGACCAGAGAACAGAGATGCCCTAACGGCTTTGATGCGAAGATAAAACACTGATAGTCAATGCACGGTGGCATTATATGGATATGTTAGTATAATATCATAACCTCTAACGCTGTCATGTTTCCCACCCCTACACTTGGACGCCACCATGTCTCAGTTAACATGTTCACTGCTGCCTCCTACCTGCGCCCTTGAGAGCTGCTAATCTGTTCCTTCATGCTGATGGCTTGACGGAGGAGGCTGTCAATGTTTTTGAAATACATGCTGCTGTTTGTCATGCTCTTCACGGCGCTGCAAAGACCAACAGATCGATGAAAGTATTAGCAGTCATAACAGCAGCATTCTGTAAATACGTACAGTGGGTCGATGCTCCTTCTCACCTGCATGCATACTCTACACTGTAGATGGCTCCTTGACTCTGCTCCTCCCAGCTCTGCATGTCTGTCTGTACGAGTAATGACAGAAAATGCAAACATTAAATATTCAGGAGAAAGAGTATTACTGCATAAAACTAGTAGTGACGCTATTTGTGTTGTGTCGTGACACTTAGCCCGGGCTTTTCTTTGCTTCAATCACCGAACTCACCCTGCCTATATTTGCGACAGGCCTAATTCCTTTCACACAAAACTCTTGCTCAGCAAAGATGGATACTATCAAACTGTTAATTTCAAACAGAAGAAATGTTACTTGTATATTAATAAGGCAATCGGATAACATATCAATTTACAAATCTTTCATTTAATCTAGGCCCCCCTCATGCACAGAGAGAGAGAAAGACCATACCATTAAATCTGAATGAATAATACTTTTATGCTCATTGTTTGCACATATCCATATTGACAAAAGTTTGCGATCTAAGCAGCTTACAACTAGCTCAAGAGGGCTTTAAGAGGTTTTATAAATCCAAAGAACTTACATAAAAACCAGACCAGGCATCTAATTAAGACCTGCATTTATTTGACATGCCAGGCATCTAAGTGGGACTAGGCTTTTAATTGAAGTTTTATGGTAATCAACTGACTGTCCAAAGCATTTGATAGCAAAGCATTATGTTTTGGCACACATAATCAAACCAATGAAGTGACCAAACACATGATCTCCATGGCTAATGCTATGCCCTCTGATTTTAAAGTGGATGATAACGTCAACAACAAACAGAAAGGCTTTTGAGCCTTGAAAAGAAGTCAACAAGTTATAACAGCCTTCAAACGCAGTAAGGGAAAATACGGGCTAAACCTCAATTCATGTTATTTCTTTTATTCTATTGTAGGCCTCAGTTTTAAGTAATTAATTTAGATAAATCTGCCCTTTAATCGAATAGTAGGGACATACTGATGATGTAATCTAAAGATAAAATAAGGAGCAGGGGAACAGACTTGTGTTGTTTACTGTACTCGTTTGGCATTCACAACTTTGTGCGTAGAAAGGACTCAGATTACAGACTACATTTTCTCATTTCGAGTTGTGAACACACAACCCCTACCCCGTCGTCAATTAGTCCTGATGCTTTGGTTGGCAGATTATGGACAGCTTTTTGTTTATAGATACACATTTTCTTATTGAAGGTGATTGGAATAGAACGACGTAAATTATCGTATTTGTACAGGTTAATTTCCCCTTTAATGTCCAAGTTGTTTTCCACGTTGGTCTCATCTCTACCAACATGACACAGGGTGAATACCTTGTGCTGCACCAGCTCAGGCAGGGACCTCCTGACGTGTTCCTGCAGTCTGTAGAGAGCCACTGACGGCTCGTTAGCCAGGACGTACATGCTCTCCGTGAATTTGTCACTCACTGTAGAATCAAACAAAAGCCAACACATGCATTTGATACACAACCCGCGTTAGGAAGACTTTTAAAAAACGGGAGAAGAACAGCCAACAGCTTGGGACATGGACAGACAGCGATGTAAACAAAATACTGGCATAGCTTAGCGGCTACGGTGAGCTAATATCTCTGTTACTAGCTTGGTTGCAGCGTTGCAAGGCAACAATGAGGTAAGTTGTATGCTGACTTGTTTCGCTAATGTTTACCTCGTCTAACTTTCAGCTGCATCTCCTGGTCCTCCATAACGAACGCTGGTAATTACTGGCAGAAACTGATAACACAATGCAGCTGCAGGCGAGTTGTGTCAGCTGACTCTTGCTGCTTCCGTATTTTGTTGCCATGTGCCACACGACAATATTCCGGACAGAAATATCGATATTAAAAAATTGTTCTTCCTTGAAAGAGTACCAAATGCTGTGATACGTTACGCGGGATGAATCAAACGTGTTTCCATTATTACTGTTAAAATAGTTGATTAATTGAATAGCTAATCAACTGAGCGATGAGTAAGGTATCTCGGTCCACTTCGACGGGCAGCCAGACCCCCCGTATGATTTGAAATTATTTACTTTCAGTTATCCCAAAAGGAAGTTAGCGCAAATTAGACTGTGAGGCTGGATGCGGTGAGTGGACAATGCAGTTTGCTTCATAAACTAAATTTGGCTACTTTTTCTTGGCGGTGACAAATTATTTAGTAGTTCGTGTCTTGTTTTTATGCAGTGATGATGGAGGCCGGAGGTGATGAAGAGGTTGCAGATGGCCAAAATATTCAGTCATCTAACGCTAATGTGTGGCCTTCCGAGTCCAGAGATGAGACGCTTAATGGTACCTGTGCCTACTGTATTTTATCTTTTAATATAAGATTCCTATCTGGGATCACTTTCTTGTCTTTTTCTGTGCAACATCTGCAGTCGACCGATGTTTATAGTCTTAAAATAACACATTAAACAGTGAATATCTTGCTTCCACTGACGTGGCTGCGGTTCATCTGATTTGTCCAATGTCTCCAGAGGACATGGATGTGGATGAAGATGATTTGTTCAAACACTCGACCACTCTGACCAACAAGCAGCGTGGGAATGAGGTTACAGTACGCCCAGCAACATTAGACTGTAAGTACTGGCAGGATACTCTGGTGGCAAAGTGCTGAGAAAATGGTGTCATAAAAGCATTTTATATTTAGCATATTCATTTACTTTATTTCCATCAGCTCTGTCCATACACCAGTTGGCTGCTCAAGGCGAGGTTTCACAAGTGGCTGCACACCTGAGCAAAGGTGAGGAATCTAGAAGTCACTGTCAGAGAACAAGCAGTATAATAACACAATGCAGTTGTTGTACGGCATCAAACTGTACAAAATCCTTACTGAAGGGCCGTGAATTGTCTTTGCAGACAGTTCACTGCTCAGCAGACAGGATGAACGGGGCTTTACACCTCTCATGTGGGCAGCAGCGTTTGGAGAGAAAGCTGTGGTGGATTTTCTCTTGGAAAAGGTCAGAAACACATGACTGCTGCCCAGAAAGACATGCACATGGTGTTAAGACAAACTTTACAATCTCACAGATGGGGTTTATGGGGTTTTTGTTTTAGGGCGCAGACCCCAAAACAATTGCCAGGGAGCGAGAGAGTGCCCTGACACTGGCCAGCTCTGGAGGTTATGTGGACATTGTTGAGTCTCTTCTCAGTCATGGAGTAGACATCAACACTTATGACTGGGTACAGAATGACTTAATGTCAGATATGTCTTCATCGCATCACTGATAAAGTCTATGAAACATTGAAATATAACTACAATGTGATTATTGTTTTGTTTTTAATGAACACTTGTATTTTAATCTCAGAATGGTGGGACCCCTCTTCTATATGCTGTACGAGGGAACCACATCAAATGTGTAGAGGCACTCTTAGGTACATTGCATGCCCACGATGTAAAATCATGATGAATTCTAGCATATTCTTTTTGAATCCATTTATTAATTTCCATTTCTTTGCTCTCATGCAGCTAAAGGGGCAGACATGACCATTGAGTCTGACTCTGGGTACAGTCCAATGGCCTTAGCTGTCGCCCTTGGACACAAAAAGAGTAAGCATCGCCTTCTTATCCCCGACCAATACGTTTTCTTTTTATAAGAGGCTACTGTAAAAAGGAAAAAAAACCTTTTCGCTGAATTAACATTTTCATTTTTTGTTTCCCAGTTCAGAAAGTGTTGGAGGACCATATTCTGAAACTCTACAAGCCACCAACATGAAACTAGCCAAAATGAATAAATGGAAAGCACAGTCTGACACAGTTGATCTCAGACCTACAACCAGCTGTCATCGGTGGTGAGATGGCCAAGAACTCATTGTAATGGACCAGTACATATGCAAAGACATTTACACGGAGTAAACTATATTGTTATTTTACAAACAGTTTATTCTATTTGTATTCATTACAATGTACAAAAACTTTGTACAAACAAGGACTATAATGTGACAGTTGTGCAGCATAATTATTTTGTTTGGCTGACTGACAGCAAATAAGGAGTAAACAAGTTTGTTTTTTTTTACTGTGTGTTCCCTTGGATGGCGCTTTTACTCAAAAGGCACAATATAAGTGTAGAGAGCAATATAACAAATGACGTAATCACAAGAAACCGGTTAAATCTGCACTTAAAACTCAAATTCCATGCAAAGCCTTCTGTGTCTGAATGAGAGGGCTTCACAGATTCCTGAAAGCGTCCATACCAAAAAAGGCCACATTCACATCAGTTCATGAGGTGGCAGTACAGATGACATGTTTCCCAAGTGCCACCGCACCGTCCTGTTTTTTACTCAAGGGTCATTTCCTCTCTCATGAGGGGATCTTAAAAAATTGTCATGAGGTTTTCCCCCCCAGGACGTCTAAGGAATAAACAATAATTCTCCCAAAAAAGTCTGCACTATTCTCAAACATTATTTTTACTTTGTCCACTGCAGGGGCCTCCTGTATGGGAAAGCTGTGGGTGTGGGGTTAAGAACAAGATAAGCATGGAAATAATGAAAAGGCATGTCCAGGAAAATATTGTGTGATACTTAATATGAACCACCTAGAACTGTAACAGGAAACATGCTGTGTTAGCTTCAGGTACAGCTTCAACTGCTGCAATAACCCTGGAGTAGAGCGTAAGACTGAGGTTTTAAAGCAGAATTGCATTTAGTGTTACGTTAACTATGTTTAAAAAAAATAGGTGATGAAATACCAATATTTGTGTGATACAGTCGTAGGCAATATACAGGATATTAGTTAAAGACTTTGCGTCTTTATCTGCCAGGGAATAAAAACAAACTTTACAGCGTTTGTCTCATTTATGGGGCAGAATTTATGCAGTTATCAACTAAATCTCTGTCAAATCCTGCAAACTCAGACTGAAGGATATCTGAAGAGAGTTGTTGTCCTCGGGATAAAAATGGCTTATCACTGTAAAGTCTCCGTCCTTTGGGCAACCTGCAGAAAAGCGCAAGGGGAAAATCACTGATCTTTTCACACTTCTACATCTTGTCTGCAATGGGAAACAGCTAAATGAGAATAAATGAGTGGCGGATAATAACATCAGGAAACCATTCGTGATGAGGCTTATAGATGGAAAAAGTCATCTCTGGGTTTTACCTTCAAGTCTGCATGTTTTTGCTGAGAAGCCACCCTGGAACTGGACCTTTAACTCTGACACCTTGACAGACTGGGGGAACTCCAGAGACACCCACTGACATTCACCCTGCCAAAGATATGACATTGACTCGCAGTGACATGAACAGAGGAATTGTAAATAGTTTTTGAGTCTAGTGTGTTCACACTGGAAAACTGATGCTCAAAACAGTCAGCTGTTGATGTACACTGGTCTCCCACAATATTATACACAACAAAGTAATTATTCTGCTGCAAACATTTAAATACAAATTGTGGATGATGGTAGAACAGATTCAGGAACTTCTCAAAACTAAACATAACTATGATTAGAGACTTTAAGTAGAGACTGTATAAGATTAAGTGTAATTCTAAAATTTCAGTTTCATAATTTCCTCGTAGTACAAAACAATCAAGTATGTTGCTTTCCTGTATTTAAATGGCAAAAAAACGTTTAAGTTACTACAGTATATACTATATGTATGTAGTTATGACAGTGAGACAACTGTAGTTTTACCTGGTCTGAGTTCCAGCATGTCTCTTCATTGCAGTCAAACATGTACTTCTTTCCGTACTGCTTCACATCTCTGTTTAGCACCGAACTCACCCTGAAATGAGAGCGTCAGAATCCCAGTTAGCTAGTTTAACGTTACACCTCTAAAACAGGAGTGTGACATGCAGCAGGACATGTGTCCTGTACGAGTCGTTTGTCTTGAACTCCTGAATGAGTCCTTCAAACATGACGGTTCATTGGCTTTAGCTTCATGAACAAACTTCTTTCGTGTACAGTTGGCATTTACCTGCTCTGAGTTTCGCAGCAAATCAATGAAGACGCCATGTCGAAATGTTAAAATTGGAAATTGCCGTCAAGCAATGCGGCAACGCTCTGCTTCTTTACGACAGTGACGTTCACGGGTGGCAGTTTCTCTTCCCACCACTAGATGGACCTCTCGCTCCGTCCAAACATTGAGGGAAGGCGCTGGTAAGTAGCTGCGACCAAAACTGAAGGTAAAGTCTTACGACGGCTCAAAATGAATATTTGAGAGCATGAAACATAAACTTAATTCGACTCTTTCTAATCTGTCTGATAGTCTGGCCAGTAACGTGCTGCCTGCTGCTCTCCATCGTATTTGTAGCTGAGTTACCTGCAGGAGACACACAAAGGTCAGGGAGATAAGAATCGATTATGAAGAGGGGACTACAGACTATGGGCCTTACTAAAGGTGAATATCGATCAGCTAACCGAATGCAACCTTCAGACGAAAAAGACAGCTTTAAATGTTATAACGTTATGTGTGTTTAAATTAAGCTGCGCTGTGAATGTTTTTATTATTGATTCACAGCATATTGGATAATCCCATTACAGAAGTAATACCAGCATGAGCTTTATTGCTTTTATTAGTGGGCATATTCCTATATCACTCTCTCATAAACAGGGAAGCAAGCAACACAGAGCAGAACAAGTGTGTGTGTGTGTGTGTGTGTGTGTGTGTGTGTGTGTGTGTGTGTGTGTGTGTGTGTGTGTGTGTGTGTGTGTGGGAGAGAGAGCCTAGTGTTTGGCACATGGCTCATTGCAGATGGAGAACTCCTGCTGAGGTTTTGTCACAGTGTCCCCTCACTGCAGATAATCAATAGGTCTGAAATACAATATCTGATGAAACCCAGCCTCCGTGAAAATTGCACAGGGGGCTGGGGAGAGTGACTAGATTGTAAGGTTTGAACCCCCCACCACACCCCCTCTCTCTGCCACAATCAGCACCCACCCCCCCACACACACACACACCTTGACTATGTGAGCCTTGCACTTGCATTACACTGTTGGTTCATACGGCAGCTTTTACAGTACTTGAGGTTGAGTATAAATTGTGATATAAAGCCGCTGTAATATTTATACTGTCCCATATCTGTGAATGACCGTGATGTAGAGCATTGGGGGGTTTTGTAGAGTTGTGAATCTGAAATGCTGGCTTGACAATTAATTTGGCAGGTGCTCAGATTCTGGACTCTAGCCATTTTGGACCCCCACCAGGCCAACATACCCATGTGTACAACACATGGGTGGATGATGAGCTGGCTTGGGGGCCCATAAAATCTTGACTTATGGCTCCATAAAGTGGCAAAGTCTGCTTTATGCTTGTGGGTTCCTAATAATGTCCACAGTGGGCCCCACATGTGCAATCATGCTAAGAACCCCACTGAGGCTCCTTTTGTGTGGCTCAGGAGGTAAAGCGAGTCACCCACAAATTAGAAGGTTGGTAGCTCGATCCCCGGGCTCCTCCTACATGTGGAAGTGTACTTGGGCAAGATACTGAACCCCAAATTGCTCCTGATGTCTGTGTATGTATGAATGTTAGTTCCTTGCAGATGAGCCGTTGGCACCTTGGATGGCTGCCACTGTCACCAATGTATGAATGGGTGAATTTGACATGTAGTGTAGCGCTTTGAGTGGTCAGAAGACTAGAGAGGTCCATTTACCATTTGCCATTAAAAGAATAGTTCTGGTAGTATAATATATATATAATAGTGTCATATATAGTAATAGTCTGACACACAGCGCCCTGTAAAACCACAACTCAACATTTTTGTACAAATTAAACAAATGAAATATTATGTTTTATTTAGTGAGCTTTAGAGGTGCTAATGGGTTATGGCTGTTTACAGTCTTTATGCTAAGATAAGCTAACTGGCTCCTGGCTGTAGGCTTATATTTAACAGACAGACATGAGAGCAGTATTAATGTTCTCATTCTTCTCTTGGAGAGAAAAGTCAATATGTTTAATTTTACAAAATGTCTAACTATTCCTTTAATTTGAAGCACGGTGGGCTAAAAGCGGGATCTTTATTGTTGTCATAACTGTTTGTTGTCTTGTTGAAAAGCGTATTTTCCCCGTTCCATCGACTCATGGTCAGCTTTGTCACAATGTTAAGATTTCTGGCCCATCTTGCTGACTGAGCTTGTTAGAGGATTATCTTCACCTCTGTCACTGATACGACTTAAAGCTTCATGTTCCCTCAGCCGTCGTTGTCACTCTTTCACCACAGTGTTTGCTGTTGCTCTCTGAGTTTTTGTCACCTCTGTTTCTGGGTTATGTCCCATGAGGCCGGATTAGTGGTTAGCAAACCAACATTGGGCTTAACCCCATCTGGCTTTTTGGTCTCACTGCAGTGACTCACTTTTCAGGCTGTATTTACGTATCACCATGGCAACTTTGGTTGTACACGTGACCTGCAGGCTATCACGTCCAATGATGTAAAAGTCTGACCCTTCACCGATCAACACTGAGAGAGTGACATTGCTATTATCACAAAGCCTCTTTACCTTCTGCAAGGATGATAGATTAAAAGTCTTTGTAGCAGTTGCTCCAGTGGATTTGCTCACTCTGACTTATTACAAAGAGCCTCTACCACATAATAAAAGACATTTATTAATGAGTAGGAAAACTATTGTTTTTCCGTTGTTGACATTTTTTCCGCAGCTTTCCCACGAGCGATCATGGCAATAGACTGCACCCGTAGTGTTCCCTTCAGTGCAGCCTTAGGGGAACAGAAGGCTGTCTGTGTGAGAAGGAAATCTTTTCATAACCTCAGTGTGACCATTAAATATTGTTTCAATGAAAAATATGCCCACTGTGCCTGGATGATGGAGCAGTGAGAAGCATTAGGAAAGTGTGTCTATTCAAGCTGGGACCTTGGAGCGTACTATTGTGTGGGTTGTCTTTCTGCGTGTGAGCTTTCTTAGCTCAGCGCCAAAAAAAAAGACAGATTTCTCCTTTTACCTAATGGAGACATTTAGGTTACACTATCCAGCAATCTTCACAAGCCTTGGCAACAGAATCAGGGTAACTCTTGACAGATATATTGCTCATTTTTTATTCATTATGATTTGACGTTCTTCTTGAGAGGAGTGCGTACTGGATTTCCATTGTTTGCAATTTCAGTGCAGCTCCTTGGTCACCAGTGTCATTCAAAAAATAAGATTTTCTTTTATTGTTCACATTGATCTGGGGATAACAACAGTGTCTCTCACCTGGGTGAGCAATTGAGGCAAACTATTAAGATGGACGGCTCATTAAGTGGCCTACTGATTGGCACAGCTGTGGTATTTTGGGGAAATAGACCTGATTGTGAAGGTTTTCTGGTAAGAAATTTAAACTTAGACTATGAATAGAGATGATGGAGATAAACAGCCATAGCCTTGTGTTATCTGAAATGGGTATATGGGTGGGTTAACTGTTGAGCTGCAACAATTAATCGATTATTCCATTCTCTCAATTAACTATTAAATTAATCAGCTTGAGTGATTTTTTAAAAATAAAACAAAGTCAAAATTCTCTGATTCCAGGTTCTTAAATGTAAATATTTTCTGGTTTCTTTACTTCTCTATGAAAGTAAACTGAATATCTTTGGGTTGTGGACAAAACAAGACAGTTGAGGACATCACCTTGGGCTTTGGGAAACACTGATTTTTACAATACACAATTACAATTTTCTGACATTTTATAGACCAAACATCGACAGATTAATCAACTGTGAAAAAAAACATTAGTTGAAGCTCGTGTTGACTGTATTGAGAGGTAAATAAGCAGATGCTTCAGGAGGTAAAACAGTCACTAAGGTCTGTTCCAGAGTTTATGAGCTGTGGGCACTTGGGTAGATTTGTCTTAATGAGTTTGGTGATTAATGCTTGTGCTGCTGTCAGAGGAGGGACACAGCATTGGGGCTGGGGCAGCACTACAACACATCGAGCTGTTCCTGCTGCACGGACTTTGTGACTTTACTCAACTTTTCTTGTAGTTTAGTTTGATTGAGGAGAGGTCCGCCTGGACAAGGCTTTCTGGGGCGATGGGGGAGTCGGTGTGAAAATAGAAGGTCTAGTCAAGGGCTTCACTTTGTGATGAAAAGTGGTGGAGACTTAAGGGCTCAGATTAGGGGTGTAACAATACACTTAGCTCAAGAGACGTGACGATGCACAATATCGGGTTCACAAGAACAAGATGACAAGATATTTTAACACTATTTTGAAGAAATATTAAATGCTGAGATATATGAGTGGTGGGTGTGGCTGTCCTCCCCCAGAAAGGTTTTAGCATTAAACACTTAATTCTCATGCATTCTGGAGAAATTGTCTGCACCAATTTATGTTGGAAATGTATTTATTTATATTTAAAAAAAAAATTAAGGTAGCATGTGACAATTAAAAATATTAAAAAATAATGGAATAATTCAGAAATCAGTTTGTTTATTTAGCTTTAGTAACTTTTTTTTGGACAATGCACATTTGTTTATTCTATATTTATATTGCTTTGCGTGTCTTAATGTAAATGAACCAAATCTTTTTCAAAGTATTTTCACTGGTGGTGTACGCTAAGCCTGAACAAAAGATATCTGAAACTTCTGAAGTTTGGTTGTTAGAAGTTGTAGCTATTACAATTGTAATTTTGGGACAAAATAGATAATGATTTAACACTCAGCTCAGCTGCCTGAAGCCACAGTCCTCACTCCTGTTATAAAGTGGGTAGAGTATGTCGGAAATTAGAATGAAACAATGCTGCTTTCGGCGCTTAGTGGTTGTAAATCATTTAGTTTAGGAAGACAACGTTTGGCATTCTTTGGGGTCCAACTAATTTGAATAAAGCAGGAAATGGGCTGAAACGTGAGGCACATCTGTCGACTGCTGCAGCAATTAACACAGGATCTTGAGTCGTGGTGCCGTTTTCTGGCAGTGCTCCTCGCTCATCTCCATGTCGAAATTTTCTGCTCCAGTTTGAGTGAGGTTCTCTAATTAAATCATTAAAAAGCACAGCATTTGCACAATATGCTCCGCTGCCTTCATTACAAAGCAATCACTCGTAATTTATTCACTCACAACGAAGGAGCGTCAGATTTGATTCGTTGTCTGCAGCTCTGTTTGTGTGAACGCTGAGTTAGTTCACATTCTTCTCTGTTTTGTATTATTCTTCCAGGCGGTGTGAAGGTGGACGCGCATGCTTTCACAGCTGTAAATTACTGAGGGATTGATGGATGCCTGGCGCCTAATGGAACTCAGGGATTACTTAGAGCCTTTGCTGGCAGAATTATATACGTGCTATATATGTGCTGTAAATGTGTATGTGGACACATGCAATTCAAGGGGACAAGCAAATATAGATAAAAAGTTTAAAATATTGGTTTAAATTATTCAGAACTTGTTTACTAAGGCAAGATATAACAACATAATACTTGTGCTGCCTGAAGACAGTTAGGCTATAATGCAGGTGTATGCCCACTACTATATTGTATAGCATGTAAGAACTGCTTTTGTTCCCCCAGGCTTTGCATCCCAGACTATGTGCAGTGTCGCGATGGGCAGGATTTATGAAGTGTGGCTGCTTCTGCTTCATGCTCCACTAGTCAGAATCCCTGCTTGCTCGTGATGTGGTTGGAGGCCCACAGGACATGCCACGCTCACCCCTCTCCGCCTGCTGCCTCACTGACACAGCCGCGCGCCTGGTCTCTGATATCCGAGCAAGGAAGTGGGCCTGTAGTAATAACTGGAGCACTAGCAGGCGCCCATTGGACACCACAGTGTAAAGAGAAGCTAGAGCGTATCATTTCATGGTGAGGTCACGGGGATTTGTCATGAGGAGTAGCAGGGGATCTCATGGTTGAGGGAATTTCACTTGAATGTTAAGGTTCAGGTTATAGCTAGAGACTAGAACAATAGAAGAGAAATGAGACGGATGGGCAAAAGCTTTGACATTCTTCTGTTTTTAGAAGGCATTTATTTGCAATTACACACCAGCAGTGACATCTAAGACTATATGAGTGGTGCTAGATAGACATATTCTTTGATCTTTGAAGTCTTACACATCGTTGCCTTCACCTCTCTTCAGCTCTTCAGCTGTCTAGACGCGGAGGAGAACTAATCTTCGTTACTCTGTGTCCCAGCTAGCCCGGCTGCACGCACGACCCCACCTCCCATCCGCTTAATCTCTTTGTCTCTCTTTATTCACAGAAGCACACCTTGTGAACATGAGCAGCCGAGCATCAGAGCAGCACTTCACAGACCCTACCCTCCCCCGTTCTCTAAAGGTAAGAGGAGGCAATGCACTGTATTGTCAGGCCTCACTCAATGCCATTTGTCAGGTGTTTTTTTCCCATGTCAGACTGGATCAGTGACTGCTGGTACGAGGTAATGGTATGTCCTAAATACTTGGTGTCAGGTGAACAGAAGTCTTGTTAAGTGCATATCCCCTTAACTTTATTTACCCGCAGAATCTTGGTGGTTTAGTTTGATTACAACTCAGGTTTACCACCATGAGAAGCTGAATCAGACTGTCTCAACTTGCACCATTAGTTATAATGTCCAATAATGCACTTTTTAGGAACAAACTGACGTACTTGCTTTTAATTATTCACACAATTTGCGCCTTAAAGTATTTTCTCAAGATTCTGTTTGAAGAAGAGGTCACAGAAAGAAAGATGAAAACTGTGTGTGTGTGTGTGTGTCTGAGAAACAGAGAGAGAGAAAGAGTGAGTAAAAAAAAAAGAGAGAAACAGACTCAAACAACTCACAACTGAACAAAAAGGTGAAGGCTGTTGCCAACTACTGCAAAAACCTTGAGGTTGGTTGTGTTAAGCTGCAGTATATACTTTAGTAACTCCCTTCTGAACAGGGAGAATGAATGCGTTTTTTATTTTACACCCACACGCAAACAAACAAAGTATAAACATGCCTTTTTGCTTCATAATTTAGCTCCATAGAGCGGATAGAAATTCGTTTTGTCATGGTAAACAGAACCACACACGTTCTTCTCTATGTTGGTGTAAATTTTAAAAAGCTGCAGCAATAAAAAAATCTTTATATTAACAAGTGGAAAGTAATGACTGTGTGTAACATCGGAATCACCATTTATATTCTGTGTTCTTCTACACATCCAAAAGGTCACACACAGTCAAGGTTCATACAGTGAAATTATAGCAGCCGTCCTCCTGATAAATCCTGAGCTCCACAGTGTCTAAAAAATTTATTTCAGAAGCTAAAAGTTTAATTCGTTTCCTCTGGAGAGTTTCCTCAGTCATTTCAAGTTTTTAGTTTTTCTGCTTAAATGACCCACATATTATGAAAAATGAATGCTAATTTTGCTTTGGGTCTGTGTTTGAATGTTTAAATCATAGATTGTAAAGATGACACAACGACAATTGTAGCCAAAACATCTTGATCACCCCCTGGTGGCTGGTTGCAGTATAGGCCATAAACCCCACCCCCTGCATGATTTGCCGGCTTCACACACACAACACAAATCATGTTTATCGTGGCTCGCATTAGTGTTCACACACAACGTGACAACGGGAATAAATACAACTCCTCCATTACTACAGATGTATGAACCCAAAAAAGACATTTATGTATGATTTATTTGCAATTAATGGATCAAACTGATGCTGAAATTCGATTTGTTAAAATTATTATGCCAGGCTTTGTCTCGGTCTGTCCGCAAGATGACAAGATTACAACTTTTAAAATTCATGTTTTCTGAATGAAGTTCAAGTCGATCAGGGCTATGCTATAACTTCTTTCATATTAAAGTACAACGATAGCTGGAATCAGGTAACTGACATATTTTCTGAACTTACCCAGTAGTTCAACTTTCTGAATTTTGCTTTTTTTTTTTATCTAAGTGATCTCCTGTTTTGTCCTGTCTGTATAAATAGGAAGTAGTCCCACAGAGCTTTGGCAGCTACAATAACAACTGTGTGGCTGGAAACACGGTAGCTTGGTACTGACAATAAATCAATGTTTTAATCCCAAAAAATACAAATAAAAAGTTAATTTAATAAAAGCAATTAACGCTGAGCTCCTCCTGCTGGTAAACAGCTCCATTTTCAGAATCCTGTCTGACTGCGGGTGTTTAAAAGTCGTCGGTGACGTCCAGACAGTCTGAACACTGATAGGCTATTGCGACACAGCGTCACATGAAAAGTTGAACGATTTCAACTCCTGCGATGGAGCGTTGCACACGATATTTTGCATGGTCACGCATTTCGCATCGGCTCCAGTGCGCTGGCAGGAAAAAACGTCCCTCTGTGTCTTTGTATTGACTTTGTATGCACCGCGCCCAACACTGGCATCGTGTTGTGTGAAACAAGCATTAGTGTATGGGACATGGGCCAAACATAAAAATTGTAAGTATGCATATGTATGAATTACTGTGAAGTGGGAGGAAGTAGAGATGCGCTGTCCATCTATATATTCTGTTAGGTAAGATTTTAGCATTTTAAAGGTGCTGCAGAATGCTGAAGTTCATTCGTATTTAGGGTTTCTACTAGAAAATGTTTACATGCTTTAATGTTCAAAAAACATATTTCTCTCATACTGTCCACTGCTTCAGCAACTCTTTTCTCCCTCTTTCTGAACACTCAGTTTTAGCTCCTTTCGCTTTAAGGGCCCCTCCCGGAAAGCCCACTTGCTTGGCCAACTTCCCCAAGTACAGACAAGGGGAGGGTGTAAACGGCACCGCTCTGAATCAAGGCCTGCTATGCGAGACATGGGCTGCGTTCGAAAAAGTCTTTTTTACTTAGGAAGGTTCCTAACTGAGTGAAGTAAACCGGAAGTATTTCAGTGGCAGCCATGATAAGAGCTGTTCAGATTCTCTAAAAGCTAAGGAAAGGTGCCTCAATGCTTCCTTTCATATCTCCTTTAGCATAGGGTGCACCAGACCATCCTTTCTGAAAGGAAGGGATGGTCCGGATGCCGTCCCACAATTCCTTGCGGCGGCAACATTTAAAGCGGCGTACGTTCTCAGACTTAAACTATAAAATCCATCAACCATGTTTAGCAAGATCCTTGCAAAACAGAAGCACATTATCATACTTTAATAAGACTCACAATTACCTTCTTTCTTTTGGTTTGTTTTCTTTTGGCTTTTTTGTAATCTAATACTGTTTCAACACCGTTTTATGTTTCGGGTTGTTGAAATAAGCCATTAAGTGTTTTCTACAATAAAAAATAAATAAATCACCAACCATGATGGATAAAGGAGGTTGATCACCATGTAAGTTACCATTGGCTATTAAGCCTTTTCTCTCTTATGCCATAACTTGCTAATATATATCTTTAACTGTCAACAATAACTGAGACCCATGCGAGCTGTTACTGGTCTTGTAACGTGATCAAAGGAGGATAATGTTGCAGCGTGTAACCTCACGTTATGTACTGCAGCCTTCAGCAAATTAATTTTACTTGACACCCTTGCCTTAATAAAGGCAAAGATCATGCTGGAAAACCTCTACAGTAGGCGTTTCCTACATACTGATTTATTTGTGGCGGCCTGCCACATTATCAACGCTGATTTTCAATTGATTTTGTTACTATTTAAAATGGGTAAAATCGTATTTGATGACAGAGCGCTGCACAGTGCATATATTCTTTCAGCATCTCCTCTCGCCCCGTCGCTCCCTCTCTCCAATCATCACCGATCCTCCACCATCTTTAATACTGGGTGCCAGACACTGTGGTTTGTAGGCCTGTCCAGGTCTTCGTCTAACCATTAGATGACCAGGTGATGGTCAAAGCTGAAAATTGGACTCATCAGAGAAGATGACCTTACTCCTCTACAGTCCAAAACGTATGGTCTTTTGCAAACTTTAGCTTGGCTTGTCTTTGCTTCTCATTGTTGAAGGGCTTTTTTCTAGCTTCGCACAAATTCAGCCGTGCCCCAAGGAGCCGGTTTCGAACAATCCTCGCCGTGCACCTCCCCAGCTGCTGTTCGCCATTCTTTTTGTAAATCACTTGATGTCATCCTACGGTGATTGGTCGATTCAGCGCATTGACAGGTGATGTTGGGTTGCAGTGAAAAAAAAAAGTTTTGCACAAAAAAGTTTTTGAGTGATATTTGAATGACTTGGCCGTCATCCTGGTCAGTGGACAATTGTTTTCGCCCTCTACTAGTCTGTAGCTTGTTGTCCAAAATGTTTTATGTTTGACCTTGTTCTTATGAAGTGCCGTCTTGATGATGGAAGCAACCTGACACTCACTATATCCTTCTGCCAGTAAAGCCAGAATTGAACCCTTCTTTTCAACTCTTTAAGCCTGTTTAATTGTCCTTTTTCTGTTCAGATTACCTTTGAGGTGCTACTGGCACTGCTTTTGCCATCCAGCAAGAGGATAGTGATGACCACAGCAGTGTTTTTTATACTTTTTCTTGTTAAGTAAAATTTGGCTCAAGTGATCACTTAATCAGTACCTCATTAAGTAGAATGAGGTGTACCTGTGTTGGATGTTAACAGCCACTGGAAGGGAATGGTTTCTATAAATGTAGAGATACTGATTTAAGACAAATATGGGGTGGTCTCTTAATTTTTCCAGAGCTGTAGATGGTAGGAAAATCAGAGACCACAAAAATAGTAGGTGAAGGAATCACCTTGAGAAAACACACATATAGCGATTAGAAAGGATTGCGATTCTGATTTGTTAAAGGGTCTGACCTTCTGATTTTCTTTCTTTCTAAGAAGAATGTAAGTCTTGCTATAGTGAGCAAAACCGGTTTTTGTTCCAGACTGTAAATGTGTTTATTTTTTGCTTTAAAGTTGGGCATTTGAACAGGGTTGTTTGGAGATTGACTTTCTTTTGGAGCCAGTCTCAAGTGGCCGTTCAATGAAATTCAGTTTTTTCAGCCCCAGAGGTTGCCGCTTAGTCTATACGCTATATATAATATATATTTCGTACATAGCTGTACCATTTGCAGTGATCACTCCGCACTAGTCCTTTAAATATGGTCAATTCAAAAGGAATGAATGATTTCATCTCATATCTTTCTGAATAGATAGAAGAAGCATTAAGGGTTTCCTACATTTGCTTATATTTGTTATTACACTATGATTTATTTAACATAGTAGTATAGAGTTAAAGAGATTGAGGGGCAAATGAGGTAAATTGTTTTTCCAAGCTCAAGGCAGTCATTCACACATAAAGCAGGTAATGATGTAAGAGATGGGTGAGTGAATGATGGGAACATAAAATGACTGTAATAGAGAGAAGATTAGCCTGCCTGCTTTCTTGGGATCGTGTCTTAGCACCAGAGTACCTGCCT